ATGCTTGATGTTGACTGTTAAGGCTTTGATCCTATCTTGCAATGTTGATGATATCAGGCACACACATGAACTCAAACTGAATAGTAAAGCCTGAGTGTTTTTTCCCACAACACTTCAATTTTATGCCAAATGCCCTACCCAGTTCAGTCTCCACCAATTATCCAGATTTGCCATTCCAATGGTTTCTAATTTGTAAAATCATGGAAACTTACAATTTCTTTCTAACTTGTACAGAGTCTTTAAAACATTCCTTTGTGCTTTTGTATCTGCAACAAACGCCGTTATTTCCCTTGTTGCCCATAAGTAATCTTTTTGGACTGGCTAATATTTTTTGAGTCATATTTTTTGAGTTCCTTTGCTAACAAGACCAACTAAAGTGAGTCTAAACAGAGCCTCCTTGGTGATGGTAATTAATCCATGTCATTTGCTTGTATTGGACATTTCTATCCTTTTTTCTTCTTACTTTAGCAGCGCGCACAGCAGGAGCACATCTGGGGCATCACTAAACCTGCCAGCTCCACACTTACGGTGTATGGATCAAAATTATGGCAAAGGTCAACAAACCCACTAGACAATTCCTTTTAATTTAGTTGGATAAGTTGATGACATTTAATACAAAAACACTGTGAACCAGATGAACGGCGGGTGCATATTTGATATTCTTAGATGTTATCGTAATAAAATTCAGCATATGCTAGTTTTACAGTGGGGCGCTTTGAAGTATTTGAGTGCACTTTTGTATATTTTTGGCACCGAAAGGTCAATGTCTGCAAGTTATTTGAAACAGGGGTTCGGATATTCCAGCCATTTCATTTTTCCTTAACCTGAGATGATGCCATAATGGAAGACTGACTACTATCCCTGCTTAGCCTCCGCTCCTCAGCTCTCCCAAAGTCAAGAGGAAATGAAAAGCGAATTCGTTTTTATTTGTTAGCCCCTTTTAAGTCTCCATTTTATATTAGTTGTCTTGTGATTTTTCCACTGTGATTCCAGTCTTAGCTACCTGTCTCTCAAATCGTGGCGAGCTTCTGACTGGCTATTTTACTTGGCCGTGCTGCACGTCTGTAACCATCTAATGTTATTGCCATGCCCCACTCTCCTCATTCGCTCACAGGGATAACATTATAAAATACTCCAAGATCTTTTTTCTTTGTGTCTGGGAAGTCCGAGCTCCGCAGTGCTAACTCCAATCATGATTCCAGATTAACTGAGGGCTTGTGACATAGGAATTCCTCTTATGTCCTTAATTTGGGAAGAATATCCTTTGATTATCTTCCAATAAGATCTGGGGAAATTGTCCCATCAGAGGGCGCCATCAATAGAGAATCACCACTTTGGCATCAAAGCGAAAAGGAATTTGATTTTTCAAGAAGTGGTTGGTTCATAATTTGGGCGCTGTGATCCAAACTGCTCCAATGTGTTGAGCAGACAGAGGAACCGAGAGTGTCTGTATGAACTACTGCTGCTATATGAAGCTATAGCCAGTGTTTACATTACCTTGGATTTCCCTTTTCTCCTTTTCCCCTCTGTCTGTCCTCTAATACAGACCTGTACATCTTTATTGGAGGTTATTACTTTTACAAATGGGACATATGCATGGATAAATCTTTTCCTTTTAGCTTGTCACTGGGGCTACTCAGACATTATGACGTTAGAATATAACTTTTAGCACCCACAATATGCAAAGCGAGTGCAATGAAACACATGTAATAATTAAAAATAAAAATTACACTGCAACTTTTTTAGCGGCAACTACGTTAACATTTTTTAGTCTGCTGATTCAAATATACAAAGTTAGGTACTCGTGCTTGGCTGTTTTGTTATTGAGTTTAGCTCTAATTCAGTCTGATATGCAGGCAGAGGTGGGACCAAGTTGTCGTTTTCCAAGTCTCAAGTAAGTCTCAAGTCTTTGACCTCAAGTCTGAATCAAGTCCCAAGTCAAATAGAAGCAAGTCCAAGTCGAGGCTCGAGTCACTGGCCTATAAGTCCAAGTCAGGTCCAAGTTGTCTGCTTTGTGCTTCAAGTCATTTCAAGTTTTTAAACCAAAGTACCAGATTTTTGCAATTTATGACTTTTAAGATAAATTGTACTTATAAAATCATAGTATATTTACATGTGAGTATTCATAAAGTTTATAAGAGTTGTAAAATTAGAGTGAATCATTACAGTCAAAATAGAAAGAATTCAGATTTAAAAGTGCTTCTCAAGTCTTCTTGAGTCACAGGCCTCAAGTCCGAGTCAAGTGCCAAGTTACTGACCTTCAAGTCCAAGTCAAGTCCCAAGTCTTAGTCCAGTTTATCAAGTAAAGTTTCAAGTCCTCAAAATAGTGACTCAAGTCTGACTCGAGTTCAAGTCACGACTTGCAAGTCCCTACCTCTTTATACAGGAGTACCTTTGGTCTGTTTTGTCAGTATTTTAGTTGACACCGTTTGACAAGCTAATATGACTTTTAAAATTTTTGATATGGGAGATCCACCACCTGCTTGTTTTGATGGATGTGATATTTCTTTGTCTGGAATGTTCCACAACATTGCATTTATCGATTCAGTTACAATGAAATGATTTTCATCAAGTTGTAACCTTGTCTAAAACATTCCGAGAGTTGTGTTTTGTTTCATTCACACATGTTTGAGTAATTCTTCATTATTAGTCTGTCTACATCTCCAAACCTCACAATGCTCTGTTTCACCCTGTGATGTAAAGCAGTGGTAGTTTTAAATATAACAGCTATGTTTAACCCTTTGATCAGTAAAGATTGGCATTTCCAGGTCTGAAATCATCATTCTAGTGAAAATGTGTGGAGTTTACACACACAGTGGAGCACATTCTATACTGCCACATGACATCACAAGGTGGAACAGAGTACTTTCCCTTTGAGGGAAGAAAGCCTAAATTTAGTTTGTGTGTTAAACATGTGTGAATGAAACAAAACACAACTCTAGGTCTATTTTCGATGAGGAACTAACATCATAACATAGAATAGGAAATGGCATAACAAAGAGAAAACATGCATTGTTACTGTGAGCAGACTTGCCTTTCCATAGATCTGACATGTTCCTTGACCTGGTGGCATTACTGTTGGACATTCCAGGCAAATAAGTAACATATATTCAGAGGTAGGCTAGTGACAGATCCTCCACCTGAAAAGTTTCATGGTGGAACTTTAATACATGTCCTGCTAAACATTTGAGTCTATATTATATTTAGGGGTGTCAAATTATCGCCTTAATTGCGATTAATTAATTACAGTCATATTTAGCGTGTTATGTTTTTTAATCGCGTTAATCTCATTTTTAATCTCTAACTTTAGTGTTTCTGTATGCGAGTTGCTTTATTATAAAACCTGTTTTTATGTGTTGTTGGGACAACAACACACACACACACACACACACACAAAAACCACATTTATACATTTTTTTATTTCGGTAATTCCTCTCATTGCCGGAAACCCACACAAAACGCGCGCAGTAAAAGCGATGTGAACATCATGTTAAAGTTGGCGGCGTCAGGCACAATGGACGAGGTCGTGGAGCCAGTAGAACAGAGGCAGCAGTGCACAGGTAAAAACACATTCGTGTCTTGGAAATTATTCTCCCGACGTGAAATATAAAAGAAAATAACTAATATAATATCGCCTACAACTTAAATGTCACTGGTGAAAACAACCTGCATAGACTCATGATGTCTGCACTACTGTCCTATAGTGACCTGCCACATGAGGGGACACGCACACAAACACACACAAACACACACCTTCATCATCGTCATTAACCTGAGAATGCGCGGACCACGTTTCCTTCCGTAGACACTGCGCGGACACCGACGTGCTCCCGTGCGCCGCGTGTGGACCGTGTTTTCTCGCGTACGCTGCGTAAACTGCGCTTCCTCCTGTGCGCCTCTAAACCAGAACTAACACCAAGACTAAAACCAGGACTTTCCAGTCCAGGACTAAACCAGGTCTAAACCAGGACTAAACCAGGACTAAACCAGACCGAAAACTAGAACTAAAACCAGGTCTAAACCAGGACTAAACCAGAACTAAAACCAGAACTAAAACCAGAACTAAAACCAGAACTAAAACCAGAACTAAAACCAGGACTAAACCAGGACTAAACCAGAACTAAAACCAGAACTAAAACCAAAACTAAAACCAGGACTAAACCAGGACTAAACCAGAACTAAAACCAGAACTAAAACCAGAACTAAAACCAGGTCTAAACCAGGTCTAAACCAGGACTAAACCAGGACCAAACCAGAACTAACACCAGGACTAAAACCAGGATTAATCCATTCCAGGACTAAACTAGGACTAAAGTAGGACTAAAGCAGGTCTAAACCAGGACTAAAACCAGTGATCTCATATATAAAGCATTTCTCTATCAATAATATTTTTTATATGGTTAAGGAAAGACTGGATTTTTTATTGTCTTTAAGTAGACAAAAGTTATTATGTTCAGATTTCCTCATCTTTGCTACTTTACAGCAAACAGTTTCTTATTCATGGAGACTTGGGCTCAACAGCCAATTTGGAGAGATTTGTTAAACAATAAATGACTTTATAAAGTCACTTTTTTTGTTCTATATCAGTCTTGATCTGCCACAATAATGTAATAATGAATTTAAATGAAAATACCTCAAGTTGAAGGCTTTTCTCAGCAATTTTTAGGTGAGATTAAAATGAGATTAATTAGATTAATTAATTACAGATCATAATTAATTAATCTCTCAATTTTTTTAATCGCATGACAGCACTAATTATATTATATTATATTATATTACGTTATATTATATTTTATTTTATTTTATTTTATTTTATTATGGTTTATTATATTTTATATTTTATTTTTCTGCCTCACTATTCAAAATGACAGAAGTCCATTGTTGTAATACTATTTGACTTAGACCTTGAATACTCTTGTGTTTTGTGGTTGGTTTTATGAATTCATCCCAAGAGTATTTTTGTTTTTCACTTTTTCTTTTTTTTTTTTCTTTTTTTGCAGAACCTGTGAGGGGCAGAATATCAAGTATCGCACATGTAGTAATGTGGTAAGTTCAGCATGCTCGTCTTTATATAGTGTAGTGTTAAGTTAATTGCAAAATCAATTAAAAAGTGATATGGAAAAGGCAATCTGTGAAGTAAAAGAAAGTATAAGCTTATATGATCATAAGAGGATTGTGTGATAAAGGACCTCAAGTGAAAAATCTATGGCAAATCAATATGCAATTTGCTGCTTATATGCGAGTGTGAGTTTGCAGTGTGGTGACCTTAAAAATAAACAAACAGAAAAGATTGTGGAGTCTAAGTTTGCTTTTATTCCCTGATCAAGTTAAGCAATTTTGTGAAACTTAAAAAAAAAAAAAAAAGTAAAACATGTCACATCTATTTTATTAAATGTCAACTTTTGTCTGTAAAAATCCACCTGCAAAGTATTTAATCTGTATGGTATGTGGCTAATGCTCAACAAAACAATGGGTAGTACTGAAGAGAAGATGAGCCAGTTGTTATTAAGGTTACTGGCGGTAATCGACTGAAACTGAAAATTTAATAAAAATATATCAACAACTAAAAATTAAAACCTAGCTCAAATTATTAAAGGGACAGTCCAGATTTTTGGACATAGGACCTCAATTCCTAGTGAGCCAGAGTGTTGGAGACATGTGGAGACACTTTTTTAAATATTCCATCCAGTGCTTGTATTTGCAGAGGTCGCTGGTGCTAGGCTAGTGCATGTCAATGGCCATAGTTATCCTGCCACTAAAAACAGTCTTACCCACTCCATAAAACACTGAAGCAAATCTATTATTACACCAGACTGTCGATGTAAATGTCTGTGTTGATAGAATAATGTTTGAAATAAACCTAACCTTGCATCACATGAATTGTCGCATGTTGAGGGACTATTTTCGCATATATCAGTCCGCCGCTGCCAAGCTTTCTATCAGGAAGTACAACTCACTGCTGCTCAGACATAAATCCTTCAAATGCAAGTTTGGTTTTACTTCTAAAATTATTCTATCATCACAGACATGGACAGTATGGTGTAATAATAGTTTTGCCTCAGGTGTTTTGTGGAGTGGGTAAAATTGTTTTTAGTGGCAAGCTAACTGTGGCCATTGACATGCACTAGCCTAGCACCAGCGACCTCTGCAAATACAAGGACTGGATGGAATATTTAAAAAAGTGTCTCCACACGTCTCCAACACTCTGGCTCACTAGGAAATGAGGTCCAATGTCCAAAATTCTGGACTGTCCCTTTAATGAAATGTGTATATTTAAAGGACTCATATTACTCTATTTCTGATCTTATAATGTTGTTTTCTCATTAAATCATACCTGTAGTTGTGTTTTGTTTCAATGACACACAAATCAGACATTTTTAGGCTGCGTTCTTCTCTTAAACAGAAAACACTCTGTTCTACCTTGTGATGTCATGTGGTAATACAGAAAGTGTTCCACTGTGTTTTTAAACTCAACACATTGACTAGAATCATTTGGATAATTCCAATGTCTACTAAACTAGGTAAAAGATAGTTCTTAACATGAAAACTACCACTTCTTGACATCACAAGGTAAAACAGAGCATTTTGACCTTTGGAGATGTAGACAGACTAATAATGCACAATTACTCAAACATGTGTAAATAAAACAAAACACAACTCCAGGTATGTTTTTGGGAGAGGTAAAAACATTCTACCTCAGCTTAAAGCTCACAAGGGTCAATTTTCCGACATTTAAGTACAAATATTATGAAAAATGTATTCACCTTTACTATTGTCTCTAGGATTGTCCCCCAGAGTCTGGTGATTTCCGTGCCCAGCAGTGCTCAGCCCACGAGGACGTCCGATACCAGGGTCGATACCACGAATGGCTCCCTATCCCCAACGACCCTGAAAATCCATGCGCTCTCAAGTGCAAATCCAGGGCATCCGGCTTAATCGTGGAGTTAGCCCCTAAAGTACTGGATGGGACGCGCTGTTATACCGAATCCCTGGACATGTGCATCAGTGGAGCTTGTCAGGTACCCCATATGTTTGAGCAATGAATAAACTATAATAATAATGGATTTTGGATTGACATTACAGGAAACAGTTCGCATGCATTTTTCCTAATATAGTAAAATTACATCCTAAGGCCCAGCGTCATTACAATCTTCAAGTCTTTTTATACCATACTTTGACTATTTGTGGTTGGAGTTTTGACCATCAATCAGACATAGACCAATACAAGTAATACTAAATAGAAAACAGAGGAACATTTTTGTGAAACCCGAAGATCTGCTTTGAGCCATGCTATTATGTAAATGCAAATAATAGATGTGAAACAATAGGGGTGGTATAAAGCAAAATACACAACATCTACCATTATTATTCACAATAAATAAATCGGCTCTGTTTTCCATTGTGGTTTGTGCTTGCAGATTGTTGGTTGTGATCACGAGTTGGGGAGCACAGCAAAGGAAGACAACTGTGGAGTCTGCAACGGAGATGGGTCGTCCTGCAGGCTGGTGCGAGGACACTACAAATCCCAGCATGCATCAGGAAAAAGTACAAGAATTTAATCACTTTGGTAATCATTGAGGCTCTGTGTATTGATTTTGTTGTGTTTCTCTCTACCAAAGCTGAAGACACGGTGGTTTCAATTCCCTACAAAAGTCGCCATGTTCGGCTGGTGCTGAAAGGCCCGGATCACTTGTGTAAGTCTTGGTAGGTCCAGGGTGCCCTTCCATCAAAAAATAAGATAACTGATAATGTAATATTCAGGATCTCAAATAAAGAAATTCCATTTTATTAGTGTGTATCAGGACTCAGATTGGGAAAGGTTTAGTGCTCGGTAAACGCTACATAAACACAAACCAAGCAACGAATACCAAAGAAACCACAATTAAATACTTGTTGTCTTAATGATAGTTGTTAGTTGAGATTGTAGACAGGCCTGCTTCTTCTTAATTAGCCTAATGTTTTTTGTGGTGTGGTTAATATTGTAGAGGAATGAACAATGACGCCAACCAAAATAATCAGCTTAAGTATGATACAGTGATTTAATCCAGATACAATTCTGAATATAAAATACGTATCTGTGTAATGCCTCAGTTGTATAGGTAGGATCCATAGGAGTAGAAAACTTTGTATTGTGTCAAGTGGATAAAAGTTTTTTTCTCGACAAACTTTTGTCCGGTTGATTTTTCAAGTACATAATTGCTTCTATTTAAAGCTGTGGCATTAACACTAGACTCTAGATTCTGATCATTAACTCTATCCTAGCCTACACATTATATTCATTATTTTGTGTTCAATACTTTAAACTCAAACTGAAATTCTTTTATAAAGGGAAAATAAGACATTTTTCTTCTACATTTTTTGCTGATGTCAAAATTATGGCCTCATACTCCCCTCGCCTTAAATAAATCACAATTGTTACATCTTTCACTTGAGAAATACTCTTTCTTTTAGATGAATTGGCAGATGTTTCATTAAATATTTCCCTGTCTTTCTCTGTTGTAGCCGGGGGCACCTAAATTGTAACCATATGTCTTTGGCCGTTAGGGCTTGTTCGGTGTTTTTCATTGTTTTTGTTTAAATGTACGCGCCGGATTCACACGGCAACTGGTGAGGTCAGAGGTTAACTGGGGTCAGACGGCCCTCTGCAGGATGGGCCCATGTGCAGAGCTACACGTGTCAGTGGGATACGCCTATAGAAGGAAAAAGCATGGCAAATAAAATAAAATTGATTATTACATACATATTACATAATTAATTACTCAAGGAGAATGAATGATGTCAGCCCAGTATGGAGACTGTATATTTTCAGGAAACATGGCTTGTATTTTCTTGGTTATACACTGTTACTATGACCTTAGATTGTAATAATCATTATTATCTTCTATCAAAGACTTGAATTCCCAGATTGAACAGACAATACCACACCAAAACATACAAACAAAAATAAATAAATACATTTTAGAAGCTTATAGTTCTTCTTCTACATAACACATCTTCAGAGTGAACTAAATACGACTAATTGTCTAAAGGTAATACTCCTTCTCTTTGTGGAAACTGGCGCTGTCCTGTAATGGGATATTATCCTGTTGGAAATTCCTGGCTTTAGTCTGTGTTTTCCATTTAATTAAAAATTAATTATACATTTTATTTAGCTAACAGACCAAAAGCTGGTGAATTCATTTTTCTCTCACAAACTGTAATTATTCATTCCTCTTTTTTAGATGTGGAGAGTAAGACATTACAGGGGGTGAAAAGTGAACTGGTCCTGGATAAATCGGGGCAGTACCACCTTGAGAACACAACGTTAGACTACCAGAAACTGTCTGATAAAGAAGTACTGAGGATCACTGGACCACTGGCAGCTGACTTCACCATCAAAGTAAGATTGCCATTCCAGGTGCCCAATCGATTTGTTATGCAATCAAACTAGATTCAAAGTACCAATGCATTTTTCCATTTATGGAGTTGAGCTTCCTGATGATATTTGAGGAATTTTGCCCAATCTAAAAGAGTTTGAATCGGTAATTACTATGGCAGCAGTGATCTAGACTTTTTAGATATTTTTTAGATATTTGGACACAGTAGCTCACACATCACAATATATTATAATAACAAAGAGCAACAATATAAATGATAATAATAAATAGCAAGAGACTGGTGTCAAATAAGGCATGCCTAGATAAATCTATATGTACAAGTAAAAATAGATCTAGAAATACAGTAATACAAAATATATCTCAGCTATATACAAGAGGTTGTAGGAGAAACAGTATAAAGGTGAAATAATGATTGACAGGACATAGGGTTATCTATTATATAAGGCTGGGTTGTTGTGCAGTTGTATGGAGTATGGTATGAATGTAGTCCTGTATCTCTCACTGTTTGAGCAGAGCTGTAGAAGACTGTTGGAGAATGAGCTTCTCTTTCCCTCTATAGTTTTATTAACCCGTATAGAGAGTAGGGTTGGGTATCAATTGGAAGTTGCCGATATGATACATACCTCGATACAGTGAGCTTTCGGTTTGATGCGATATATTTCAAATCGATTTGATACGGTTCAATAAAAAAATAAAGGCTAAATCATGGCTGTGATACTAAAAGTCTTTGTTATACCACTTCTTGTGCAAATTTCATATGAAACACAAACATTTTATCCATCAAAACAGTGAAAATGTCAAATGTGTCGCATAAACGTGCTTTGTTCCTATAAACAACCAAAAAAACTATAGCGCTGTAACAAAATAATTTACTAAAATATATCAAAAAATACGCTGGGTGATATATCGATACAGCAGCTCATGATATCAATACTGTATCATCACTTTAAACAATACGATATATCAATATTTCAATATTTTTGCACAGCCCTAAAAGAGAGAGCATAATTTTATGTTTGATAACTTGCAACACTTATATACACTATAAGAACTAGACCCTGAAATAATATTTATTCTGTAAATAACAAAATTAAATAAAAAATCACACAGTAGTGCCATTGTTGTTATATGAGAAAGATCGTGATTCGTTCATGGACTGTAATTATTTCAACCGGTCATCTCTTTCTTTCCAACTAATGCCTTAATCATCCACGATCCAGGAATAATACACAAACTATTTTACCACTCACTGGCACAATAGGTGTGAAATTTTTGGTGGTTTCCTGTATTAAAATTATACAGGCCACAAAGAGGGAAACGCTTGTGAAAACTTCCCTCCTCGTAAACAGTTAAAGTCAGGAAAGCACAATAAATGGGAAGTGAGCAGACAGAAATCTGAGCTGCAGTAAGTGTGTAATTTTCTAATCTATTCAGGGCCAGGTCAAACTGTCATGGATGGAAACTGTATTGCAAACTGCCAGAATATCCTTCCACAATAAACACTTGAATGTGAAAAAGTAGGAGGAAAGTTTAATTTAGTCTTAGCAAAAGATAATATCATGGTATTGTTAAAGAAAGTTATTGGATAAAAATTATTCTCTCATCACCTTTTATTGATGGATTTTCAGAGAGATAAACTTTTCTCGGTCCAAAAATCGTTCTTTGACTAGACTCAAAATGATTACAGAACTCCTGCATGAAATGCCACATTTAAACAACCTCACAGCAATGATCATAGTTATTGCATTAACACTAAAATGCTGTTGCCTTTTTTACAAGTTCCCCTAACTCCTACACTATGGTAAAAACAACAAATTGTTAACATTACACGTGGCAAAAATAGGAAGCTGGCCCACATGCTGCATTTTAGGTTAAAAACTGAATGTGGCCTTTGCAATTCAAAGGTAAAACATTTAAATGTGCTTGTGCACTGCGTAACCTTTGTGCTGGAGAGGCTTTCAGTTTGCATAGAATATTCCACAGTATAGCATTAAACTTATCTTTTTTTTTTTTTTGGAAACAAGCAGTTGATGCCACCAGGCCATGTTACAGGTCAGATCTGTTTAGGGACAACACCACAATTAGAATGTGTGTTTTTCATGTTTTTTCTGAGTAATAAATACACCCAAAAAGAAATAAATGCTAGATAGATAAGTTTAATGTCACACTGTTACATTTCATTGAGTCATGCAGGTGATGTATAGCATGATTCACTTCGTGGAAACCGTCTGTCCTCGCAGCAATAGGATTCGTTTGCTCAACAGTAGGCGGGTACTTTTTTCATTTAACCTATCCCTGCTATTTGGTCGTGACATATGTAATGCGCCAAATCCTGTAGGAAGAAGGGCAATAACATCTTTCCCCTTGATAAAATTCACCAAACATTCTCTTTGTTCTGACTTTAAATCCTTGTATGAATGTATGTCTTCATCTACATCCATCTTGATCGCTTTGTTTACTGTTGTGCTGTACCACAAAATGGACCCAGACAGGTGCTTGAGTTTGATGTCAAGGCTTCACAGCTCTTCGCTGATTGACCGGTACTTGCTCTAAAACTTCCAGGGTTCTTGCAAACTGTCTAGTGTATTCCTGTTCCTGACCTAGTCGCCGGAGAGAAATTAAATTGAGCGGACGCACTAGGTGGTGTACCCTCCTCCAGAGAAGTTACATAGCACACCTTTAACTAACAGAAATACCCTATAAATGTCACTGTAAAATAGATTAATATTCTAGGGTCCTGTTCTTAGCATAGACATGTATGTATGCATGTATAAAGAAGTGGACTAAGGGAGTGTGATGTCACCCACAGCATCCAGCTCCAGCCAAATGAAGCTCACAAAGCTACAGTTATAGGAGCAAATTTAGAGCCAAGTCCATATTAGGAATAGGAATTTATTTATGGACAAATTAGCGAAATAAAAACACCAGGATCATGCAGAGCGGGTTAATATAAAAATTTTAAGACCATAATGACAAGGCTCACTGCAGCAGTTACAGAGAGAGGGGTGACAATTTTTCAAATGTAAAAACAAAATGGAGCTGGAGTCGGCCCCCATGCTCACTTCCTATTTGGAACACGGCAGCTAGCGGGTTAGCTGTGTCCATTTATATACATGGTCTATGGTTGTTAGGTGCAGTTTTCCAGTGGGCCTGACAGCGTGGTGCAGTATATCTACTACCAGCCCATCGTTCACCGCTGGAGAGAGACAGACTTCTTTCCTTGCTCCGTCACATGTGGAGGAGGTTAGGACAGTTAAATTACATGTTATACCAGATCTTTTCCATTCCTTACGTCTGTTGTTCTTTGTTTGTGTTGTGCAGGCTATCAGCTCACATCAGCAGAGTGTTTTGATCTGCGGACAGGTCGAGTGGTGGTGGATCAGTATTGTCATTACTACCCAGAAAATGTAAAACCTAAACCCAAACTCCAGGAGTGCAACATGGAGCCGTGTTTGGCCAGGTCTGTAAACGGATATGGGAAATGTGGGCAGTGTTTTATGTTTGTGAGACCAATTCCCCTTGAATGGAGCCTGCGTGTACTTCCTGTGTTGAATGTTGTTGAATGTCTGCATCTAGCAAAAGAACAAGCGAATTACTGAATACAATTTTACAAAATAATTAAAAAAAAAATGAATGAATGGTTCTAGCCAATGTGTTGAGTTTAAAAACATAGTGGATTATATCACCATGATGTCACAAGGTGTTTAAGAGAAGAACTCAGCCTAAATATGCAGGATTTGTGAGTTGATTAAACAAAACACAACTACGGGTATGTTTTTAATGAGGAAACAACATTATAACATAGATCAGAATGAATGATGAATTAAGAAAAATTCTAACCAATACTAAAACTAGTACAACATCCCATGAACCCGCTTTGATATTAAAATTATTCCAATGTTGGACCTTTCCTGAGTAGTTTCTTGAAAGGTCTTGATCAGAATTTTAAGATCACAAGCCAATATATAAGAAAACTACAATGATTTTGTGTTGAAAATAACCCTGTATATGTGATGACCATGTTGTTATTGAAATTGGCTTTCAAGCATTTTGCTCAGTCCTGAAATTGAGTTTGACATTTTTAGTGATAACACTACTAATACTAGGGATGCTTCTAGTTTGTGCCAATACATGATCTCAACCAGTACCAGAGCAGAAACAAAAAACACATTTTGTTTCATTTAAACAAAAACAAAAACTGCTCCATATACTGTATGTGATGGAGCTGTAATTTATCTCAGTTAAGTAACTACAGAACATGTAGTTGGCCCAGAAAGCCAATTTTAAGTACATCAATTTATGTCCAACAAGAATATCGACTGAACCGATATTTGGAAGCGATATCTGAACCAATAAATTTTCAGTATTGCTGCAGATATCTGATACAAGTATCACTTCGGTACATCCCTAATTAATACTAACTGTACAATGTTGATTATGCTGTACTTACATAAGGTCCATAGTTGTTGAGAAATGTTAATTAATAATCAGAAGAGAATAGATAAAGTGAAGTAAATCTAACGAAAATATCTTCTGTTTCAGTGATGGCTACAAGCAAATCATGCCGTACGACCTCTACCACCCACTGCCCAGGTAAATATACCAACAGTGTCTGAAAACATCACAAAAATGAAAGCTAACTAGTTTGTACTTCTGTCTTTGCTCAGATGGGAGAGTAGCCCGTGGACAGCCTGCTCTACTGCGGCGGCGGGATACAAAGTCGCTCTGTTACGTGTGTGGAGGAGGACATGCAGGGGAACATCACCCCCACAGACGAGTGGAAGTGTCTGTACTCCCCCAAAACAGCCATTGTCCAGCCCTGCAACACCTTTGACTGTCCCACCTGGCATGCCCAAGAGTGGTCTCCGGTAAGGGGTGACAAATATCCACTAAAGCCATTATCATCTGTAGTTAAAGGGCCAGTATTCCACTATTTTCTGATCTATGTTCTAATGTTTCCTCATCAAAAACACACCTGGAGTTGTGTTTTGTTTCATTCACACATGTTTAACACACAAACCCTGCATAGTAGTTAGTCTGTTCCACCTTGTGATGTTATGTGGTGCTCCACGGTGTTTTTAAACTCCATACTCCTTCACTAGAATCATTTGGATAATTTCAGCCCTGGAATTGTTTTGAGCTTTGGATAAGTAAACTAATAATCCAGGTTTAATCAAACATTTACTCAGACATGCATGAATGAAACAAAACTCGACTCCGTTTATGTTTTTGAGCAACATTTTGCCATGACTAAAATCTCACCTTTAAACTGTTGTTAGTGCATATGACTTTTTTTGTGTTTTTAAAAAAATATTATTTCATTCTGGTGGGATAGAAATCGTGGTCAGTGATCTTCGTTTTACATTAATCCAGCTGCAGTTTGAAAAGGGAAGTCGAAAAGTTCAAAATTAGAGGAAGTAGTGCTGAATTCTAAAAAGAAATGGCTCTATCTGTCATAAATAAGCAAAATTACAAACTTCATATTGGCAAATGATAGACATTTTGGCAAAATCTTAAATGTAGTTATGTTAACTGTATTTTAATGGAATGGGTTGTTCAACTGTCATGCACTTTAATTATTGTTTTGTTTGGATATTATAGTTATAGAGGAACTGTACAATTGATTTGGAAGTTGTAGAAAACAGCAGTGGTGAAGGAAGTACTCAATATTGTTACTCACGTAAAAGTACAGCTACAGGGGCCAAAGATTACTCAAGTAAAAGTATGGCATGAAAAAATCTACATAAAACTATTAAAATACCTGTTTTAAAATGTACTTGCAGATATTTTTACAACAGTTAAAGCATCAAATGTTTTGATTTTGATAAAGAACAGAGCTGAGTTTAAGGGATTCAATCTATTTCTTAATTTATCTAGCTGTTCTTGTGTATTTATGTGTTTGGTTTGCGCAAAGTTTGCGCAAAGTCTCAAATGTAGTGAAATAAAAGTGAAAAGTAAAGTACAGATATTTAAAAAATTTACTTGCGTGTTGTGCTTTTACTTGTACTTTCTTACATTCCATCACTGGAAAACAGTAGCAGTAGATTACTATAGAAATATTTCCTTAATTCAGTATTCATTTACTGGTTTGTTGAACATTTTACTTATGAGCCTTTACTTTTGAGCCTCATATTTGTATTACACAGCCAGTATTACAGTAATGATGATGCTATTACATTGACCATAAACGTCCCATTGAACTTCTCAATGAACCTCTTTGGGGATTTTTCACTTTTATCAGTTACTGGCTGCTAAATCCTAGAAGCATATTTGTGGCCTCACTCTGAAAACCTTGGCTGGCTGTTTACCTAGCACATTCTTCCTGTGAACTGGACTTTAAATGCTTGTTTTGGCAAAGGGAAGCTCCAGGTTCACCCGTGAGCACGCCGCAGTGGGGAGCCTGGAAGCCTTGCATTGCCTGTATTCCTCCCTTGAGCTGAACTTAAGCAAAAGATATAATCACAGAGGAAAAATGTAAACGCTAGCCTTATCTATCTGAAAACGAATGAGTGAAGAGGTTGTATTCTTTCAACAGTGTACAGTAACATGTGGTCAGGGGCTCCGGTACCGTGTGGTGTTATGCATTGACCATAGGGGGCTGCACGCCGGAGGTTGTAACCCCACGACCAAACCACACATCAAGGAGGAGTGCCTGGTGACCGTGCCCTGCTTCAGAGCCATAGGTGGGTTGACTCTTAGGTGAACTGTCTTGTCAATATAACTCATTTCAGTGTTGCATCACAACTGAGCAAGAATGTTTTGCAATTTCACTTGAAAATTGAGAAGGGATGATTTACAACGTGTTAGCAATATTAAATAATTTACATATACAGAAAATCATTGACTACTTATATTATAACAGGGGTCATCAAACTAAGGCTGACTCCGGCCCTCCACACCCCTTTGACTGGCCCCCCAGCCCCTCTGTCCCCACCACTGGAACTGGCCCTATGAGGCAATCAAAAGAGGCTCCTCAAAAGTGGTCATGGCCAATTTTTAAAAATCACTTTTTGGCAAATAATAACACGTCTCCATCTTGGATTTTGTTGATTTTTTTCAATTAAAAAAATATGAAGAATTTATATTTTAATTTATATTTAAATAATTATATGACATATTTACATTTACCGCCAAATTTTTGTCACCTGACAAGCTCGAGATTAAACAGTGACAGTCAATGCACAAGCAGAGTTCTGTAGTACATTTAAGGACAGTAAAATGGCTCATGTTAAAGTATGAAAAGTTGACAGAGAGTGCAGAGTTTTCAAAGAACAGTGGACGACTGATTGTACTTTTCTTCAGTGTAAGGACCGTGCAGTTTGTCTGATACGTAAAGAAAGTGTGGCGGTTTTCAAAGAATATAATCTGTGTTATCAGGGTCATACAATTCTCATAAACCGACCTGACCCTGGCCCCCATCACAGTCAGGAGTGATAATGTGGCCCCCAGAGAAACAAGTTTGGTGACCCCTGAATTAGAAAATCAGATGCATTGTGCAACTTCTCTGTTGGAGCTTCCACCATCTGCTTTTTTCCATGGAGATGTTATTGCTTTGTATGGAATGTTCCTCAGTATGGCATTAAACCTTTCTATCTTCATGGAGATCAAAGGTCAGATCTGTGGAGAGGCAATCCCGCTCACAGTCAGAATGCCTGTTTTTCTAGGTATTTTTGAGCTATAAATCCACTTCTAATTGAATCAGTGTAAGGTAAATCTGTCTAATGTCACATTCTAAATAAAGCAATGACATAGTATCTGTAGAAGGTGATGCCCTCAACCAAAAAGTTACACAGTGCACCTTTATTTCATATTTAGCCAAATTTATCTCTTCAGCTTTTTACACACATCTCAAGGCAGTTTAATTGGGCAAAATGGGTCTGAAAATATGAGACACTATAAAATAATAGACATGCCATCTGCTTATGTTAATTGGATGCTTATTTATAACCCTAATTATAGGATTTGTGATTTTCTGTAAATTCATAAGCCTGCACTGTTTTAGATACACAGCCTGTTGAAGCAAAGGAGCCATGGGAAAAACAGGCCATTGAATTGGATGAAGAAACAACTGTGACAGAAGAACCCACGTGAGTACCAAGTCAAGTCTGGCACATGATGTGCTTATTATGTTCCACAATATGGCCATAATCTCCAGGGAAACTTGCAAGCCAAATTACAGTTTAGATTTGTGGAGAGGCAGCCCCACTCACAGTAAGAATAGATGTTTTTTAAGATATTTTTTGAGCACTTAAACACCTGTAGTTAAATAAATACAACATAGATAGTTTAATACTGTACTTGGGACAGTTTAAACCAAAGCATTAACACGTTGTAGACGCCCTCCAGAAAAGTTACACACTGACCAACTATATTTAACACAGTCCCTTGTAGTAATGTATGCCAAGGTGAGTAGTACTTGTTATAGTTACTTGAGAAACTTTGTAAAGACATTTTTCATAGTATTTTTCTAGCATTTGTCATCGTAGTAACAGTTCTCTAAGTGGACTAATAAGTAAGTAATTTTTGGGTCACTATATTTTACTTCTGCTTGAGCAATAATAGTTTAAAATAACGTTACTCTTACTTTGGTTGCTCTACCCACCTCTGAATGCAATGCTGAAAGGATTACTCAATTTTGTTACTCCAGTAAAAGTACAGATACTGGAGCAAAAAAAAAATTAAAAATACTCCAGTAAAACTTTCATTACGTTCCACCATACTTTAAGTATTGTTTTGTTTGGATAATATAGTTAAAGAGGAACAGTACTACTGACTTAAAAGTTATAGAAAACAGCAATGGTGAAGTACTAGTAATTTTGTTACGCAAGTAAACATACAGATATAGGGGCAAAAGATTACTCAAGTAAAAGTAAAAGTATTGCATGGAAAAATCTACATATCTACTATTCAAGTACCTGTTTAAAAATGTACTTTAACTGTAAAAAATAGTTTTGCACATATTTTCACAAGAATTAAAGCATCAAATGTAGTGATTTTGATAGAGAATTTAGATTACCTAAAAAATTAATTACGTGTTTGCTTTTGTACTTTGTTACATTCCACCACTTCAAAAAAGTAACAGTAGATTACTATAGAAATATTTCCTTAATTCTGTATTCTGTATTTTAAAACACTACACCACTGCCTAAGTCAGTAAAGGAAAAGCAGTGGTTAAGATAAAAGACAAAAGTTCACAACCCGGAAAATCGGCAGGAAAATTTACAATGTTAAATCAGAGAATTACTGTCACTCCGCATAGATATAAGAGCCAAAGAGTCATGCAAACACTGATTCCAGACCAGTTACGCTGTGCAAAGTGCAAGTCAAAATTTACCTTGAGGTGAAATTGGTCTGGACAGGGCTCAGTGCTCCTTTGAAACCTTCACAGTATCACGGTTGTGTTCACGTCAACGGAGATTTGCATCAACTTTTGCATGTCAAAATGTACAGCTGGAGCCCTTATTTTTTACACGCCTGTCATAATACTCGCCCATGTGCCTCAACACACCTGCCAGAAGTTTGTCTGAAAATGATGCTGGATTAGATTTGCAAGGATAAACTTTAGAGTATGTTAACCTGTCTTGATTATTTACAGTGTTTTGGGTAAAGTGAAAACAGCGAAATTGCATGTGAAATAAGCTTGCATGTTTTGTATGAGGTAATTTAGGGTAAAACAAAGCTACTAGCATTACCTCAGAAAGCAGATGTCCAGATGTTCTCTCATCATCTGTAAAATAACTGCTCTTCCAAAGATGGACAATGGTTGGATACTAAGCTACAGTGACTCGAGATAGCAACCTCGCTGGCCAGTTTCACATGTGTTGACTTCATTTGGAGAGTGAAAATATGTTCCGAAATATACGACTTAGCTTTCTTGCATAAAAAGCATAAATATTAATGCATAATATAGTGCCGGTCGTATGCCAAAAGCAATACCTGTTGACCATATGGGGCCAGGATGTGCGAGGATAGAGGAAATGCCTGTTTTAGAATTATTACACCACCTTTGCCAACCACCACTGTGAAATCCTAAAATAAAAACCTGCTTTGTTGTAAGTTGCCATTAAAAGTAAATAAATCTGATGTGCTCTGATGTGAATGTAATTGATAATATTAAGAACAGATTTTGGCTTAATGTGGTGTTTGAATGAAATCGGGATCGTGCGCCAGTCCACTGATGTAGGTTAACAGTGCGTGAAGATAAGCATTGATGTTATGAGTGCAAAGTCTGACTGTACTGATTCATTTGTTTGTCCAAATCCCAGGAGCTCCCCGGCAGCAGTGAAAGAGCCAAGTCTGCAGTAATTACGAGTATTTTATTGAGCCGTCCAGTAAAACTCCAGGGTGCGTTCGTGCTGTGGTCAGGCAGGTTAACTGGGCAGGAATGTACAGTGAACAAGCTGCAAATTTATAGGCTACTAATACTTTAAATTGAGTTGCTTATGGAGATTTTTTTGTAGACGGTCCGCCATCTGCTCCTCTGCATGGGAATGTTCCGCAGTATAGATTAAACCTACTTATCACAAGGGAGACAAGCAGGTTACAGCACTACACTACGTCCCAGTTCAGATCTTTGGAGTTTCACCCCAATTCACAGAAGGAATATTGTTTTTTTGAGTAATAAAAACACTTGTAAATGCTAGATAAATGTGTTTAATGTCACACCAAAAGCTATATCATCTCCATCACCATGGAGACAAGCAGGTAAGGAACCCCCCAAGTTGCGCAATGCACCTTTAAATTTAATAACCATGACCCATCTGTGTGTAGACATGGTTACATCAAATATAAGTTTTACTGATAACAATTCAATAAAATATTTGTTCTTAATTACCAAAAAAAAAAAAAAAAAAAAAAAAAAAAAAAACACTGGACATGATGACCTAGTGGTGTTTTGGTTGTCCCGTCAGAAAGCAGAATAAGCCTCACATGAATCTCTCATTTGTGTTGTTCATTTCTGAAATCCAGTTGGTTTGAACCTGAAAAGACTCTCTCTGATCTGAAAGCTCACTACATAAAACCCCAGCATCTACAGTCAGTCATGAACCAGTGCTAGTGCAACCTCTGTAGCTCAGTGAGGAGAATCAGGAGGTTCTGAGTTTCATGTGGAACGACCTGTCCATATAATGAGAATCAGAAAAATGTGTATGTGTTCTCTATATGCACATTATCCAGGTTAAGACGATGGTAGGTTCAGTTATGATTGTAAAAAAAACTAAAATAAAAATGTGAGCTCTAAAGACAGGATTTATGACTTTTTTATTATTTTAATCAATATCCTTGAGGCATATCTTCAGTCTAGACTACATACCATATGCATACAATAGAAAAACAATGTCTTTATTGCAGCATGGAGATTTATCACTGTCAGTGTTTTTTTGTTTAGTTGTGCAGTCTATTAGGTCATAAGCATAAATTATATAACATCTGTTGGACATATTAACTGTACTATGATGACTTACGTTTACTTCAAAATAAGCAAATGTAAGAAAAATCTACAAATTCCAAAAATTATTCAAAGGTGAGAAAGCTCATCAGAAAATTTAAACCAGTTTGAGTGATAATATTCAGTATTATGGGTAGGACTTTGTGGGCCATTGATAATGAGAGTATTAATTACAATACTTTGTACTCTGCATATTTTAGTGTACGATATGATATGATATGATAGACATCCAGATCGTTGCAAGGACAAACACAAAAAGCAGATCTCAGACTTTTGTCATTGCCAGGTTAATCTGTCTGGGGAAACCATTCCATTATACATCACAGACTTAATTTGACTTAAAGGTGCACTGCACAACTTTTGTAGGGTCCACTACCTGCATGTCTCCATGGAAATGTTATTGCTTTTCCTGGAATGTTCCATGGTATGACATTAAACATATACATCTAGCATTTTTTCTTTAGGTTTCTGTTTCTTTTGCTCAAAAATACTCTCCACAGATTGTAATGTAGCGTAGTGCTCTAACCTGCTTGTCTTCCTTGTGATAGATAGGTTTATACTGTGGAACATTCTAGACAAAGCAATAACATTTCCATGGACATAAGCAGGTGGCAGTCCCTCAACTAGAAATGTTACACAGTGCACCTTTACGATGTCTGTTTTATTATCCTCTTTAGATTCATCCCTGGGCCTTGGGAACCCTGCAGCAAATCCTGTGGAGCGGGCGTACAACATCGGACTGTCAAATGCCAAGTGCTGCTGTCCTTTTCCCAAACTGTGGCTGACCTGCCTGACGACGAGTGTGAGGGGATCAAACCAGCCCAGACTCAAACCTGCTACCGGACCCCCTGCTCCGGAGCCGAGGAGCCAGAGAACAACACGGAGAAGACTTTTAACAAGGAAGAACTACACGACTGGGAATATGAAGGCTTCACCCAGTGTTCAGAGAGCTGTGGGAGAGGTATGATAGTCAATAGGTGTCTTAGTCAAGAAAAATGTGCATTAGTTTAATTATTGTTTTTAGATTTTAAGGATTTAGGGTTAGGGTTAGGGACAACAGCAGAAAGAAGAAGGCATGGAGTGAGCTAGTTGGCAGTTTGGGTGTGCCTTTACATACAAATACTCCAACCCCATCAAAAAACGATTGCGCACTCCACAATCCAGAGCACCCTATACACGAATCCAACGGGGGGGTCATGGAGGGAATGCCAGATTGAACAGGTGAGTTTTTAGAAGTGACCTGAAGCTCTGCAGTGAGTCCAAGTTCCTGATGGATTGTGGGAGTGAGTTCAGAGGGAGGGGGCGGTAGCAGTGAAGACTCAGTCTCCTGAGGTGTGGTGCTTTGTCCTGATGATGGGAGTGAGGAGGTTTGTGTGGGCTGATCTGAGGCGGCGGGTGAGACAGTGCAGACAGAGAAGGTCAGTGAGATAGAGAGGGGCCAGGTTATGGAGGGACCTGTAGGTGATGAGGAGGACCTTGTATTGGATGTGGTATTGTACGGGGAGCAAGTGGTGTTGCTAGTAGGTTTGAGAGCTCCACACCCCAGGGCATGTCTAGTTGCCCAAGAAATGTGTTAGTAAATAGTAGTATTTAGTGATATTATTGTATTTATCCACTGTAAAGTAGAAATAGTGGAAGAACAGGAATCAGTATCTTGTTTGTAAAGCATCTTAGAATGTCCAAAAGAGATCTATATAAGGCTGATGTATTATTACTTCAGTCAAGCATTTATTTTCCATGCTATTACTACAGCTGACACTACTATTGATGGTACTAAACCTCTACAAAGTATGACAATAATAGTATAACAATAAAATAAGAGTATAAGTATAACAATAATTTAAGATAATCCTAGTAAACCGTTTAAAAAGGCCTGAGCTGCAACTAATCAATAACAAAATGAAGCAATAATTAGCCACAGAAGAACTATTTCAACCTTTTACAGCTCAAATGTTATTGTATTAACTACCCCAAATCTCTCCGCTATTGCAAATAAAATGTACACATGTTAAATATTGAGCTCCAAAATATACTGTTCCAGTTACTTTTGAATATTTATGCCAGAACTTAAACAGCTAGTCCAAACCAGAGTGGTACCCTCTTTGTGGTCATGTCGTATTTTCCACCAGTGCATTACACGGAGCCTCACAGTTTATGTAGAAAATGCCTATGTCATTTGAGCTTTACAAAACTGGAGTACGGTTGAATATTATTAGGTGATAATGGTCGTAGTACAAACCTTACCGCTGTAACTTCACCCACTCTGTTGTGAATCCAGTGCCAGGCCCAGACAGTCGCTCTAAACACTCCGCCATCTTTATTTAAGGCTCACTTTGATCTCTGTAGGCTTGTGCGTCTGCTTTGTGTGTTTCCAGCTAACTTAATTTCTCCACATGGGCGTAGGCTTTTGTCAGTGTTTCGCCCAAACTCAACAAACTCTTAAATGGAGGGATGATCGCAGAGGGGTCAGATTTCGGGCCATAACTCCTGGACCATCACACAGGCCTGTTATTGTCCCCAAATTTAGGAGCAGTCGAAGTGATTCATGTAAAACAGAGTCTGACATCAAATTTATGCCTGTGTCTGTGTTGGTTTCTGTACAACACAGTTGACAAAGTTTGAAATGTGAATAAATAAAAATAAACAAAACTTGTAATGGAAAACAGACAATGCTAACAGATGGCATAATAGTAGCAAGAAAGATGTACAAAGCCAGATGTTGGCATGTAGTGGTAATAGTGTAATTTCTTGAGCTCTAGTCGAAAAAGGAAATTCTTGGTTGACTTACGACATGCCCTGCCAATCGAGTAGTCAAGTAAAAACAGCGGGTGTGGCAAACACTCTCAAAACCATAAATTATCTATTTAATCTAATCATGTATCTGATCAAAACTGCACTCACAAGAAAACAATTGCACAGGGATTCATGCAAAAATATACAGAAAAGCATTGAAACTGTGTATTTGTGAAAAATGCAGATTAAACTTCCAAACATTTCCAAATTTTCAGCCAAATGACAACATACCTTGCTGTTCCTGCTGTGTTCATATAAATCCTTAAAATTTCAGTAAAATAAGATGTTTAAGAGGACTATTGGTGTACTAAGACACCATCGACCAATTAATCACCTAAAGGAATAAAGGACTAGCCAGGTTGGCGCCACCTAGTGCCTCCACTCAATTTAATTTCTCTCCAGTGACTAGGTCAGGAATCGGAATACACTAGACAGTTTGGAAGTCCGGGCACCAGCCAGTCAATGAAGAGCCATACATTCTGTGTTGGCAACGATTCCCGAGATCAAGGATTTAAAGCTGGAACAAAGAGAATGTTTGGTGAATTTTATCAAGGGGAAAGGCATTATTGCTCTTCTTCCTACGGGATTTGGGAAAAGCTTAATATACCAGTTAGCTCCGTTAGCGCCGCATTATATACATCACGACCAAATAGCAGCGATTGGTTAAATAAAAAAAAGTACCCGCCTACCGCCAAGTTACAGATCTGACCTGTAACTTGCTCTGGATTGGTCTTCATGAAGATAGAAAGGTTTATTACCAGACTGTAAAACATTGTAGACGCAGCAATAACTCCACACAGAGAAGCATTTGATGGACCCTCCATCAGGAAAGTTACAAAAATGAAACTTTAAGACTAGTAATAACAAGTAAGCTGAAGGTTAACACTCGATCGACAAGCAGTGGTCTTTTATGAGCCAGCTACGTATATTTTTATCAATATCAAGGTAAAGTTTACATTGAATTCCTTGTTTATATGCTATGAATATTTTTATTTCATTTACTGTTCACCTATATTTAATGTACTGTAATACACTTACACAATTCACAAATAGTTTTCTTTTTCCCCACAGGTGTACAAGAGGCTATTGTGATCTGCCTGAACAAACAGACCAGAGAAGCAGCTGATCAGAGCCTGTGCGAGAGCTCCAGAAGACCACCTCAGCTCCTCCAAGACTGCAACACTCAACCCTGCCCACCCAGGTAGGAAAAACATATATAAACTCTATTATAAAATCATTATTTGAAAGAAATTTTGAAAAGAAAATAATGAAAAATAATGAAATGAAAATAATTATAATTAGCTAAAATATCCAAAGAAGATTGTTGTAGGAAAGGGTTTGGCTGTATATTTTTAAAACTTGGAATTAAACTGGAATAATAGGATTGTCCGCCAAAACTGCACTATGGTTCTCTTAATACAGTACACAGCTAAGCACAAAGACTATTTGAAACAATTCATCTTTTCTTTTTTAATGGTGTATGTCAGGAGGAATTAGAGCCACAAATTCAATACATCTTTTTGTTCAAACTCCTACAAACGCCAATAAAGACACCATCTGACCGATACTGATACGGAGCTATGGTGACAGAGATAGATGGTTGTATCATTGAGAGGAGGAAATGAAGTCAGCTGGACACTGCACGGAGCCTGGTTATAATCACAATACAATGGGATCAAGTGTAAGGAGAGGACGACTTGCTACAATCATGCAAGGTTGAAAGTTATTTGGCCTTTAGTGATAGCTGTATTAATACTTATAATGTGTGTTGTAAGAAGTACTAGCAGTAGTAAAGGTGAGGGGTTATGTCATTGCAAAAACTGTGGAAGTGTGAGTTTGCTCACCAGCCAGTCAACAAAGAGCCATACATTCTATGTTGGCAACGATTCCCAAGATCGAGGATTTAAAGTTGGAACAAAGAGAATGTTTGGTAAATTTTATCAAGGGGAAAGACGCTATTGCCCGCATTACATATGTCACGACCAAATAGCAGCAATTGGTTAAATCAAAAAGTACCCGCCTACCGTCGAGTGAACTAATCCTAATGCTGTGAGGTCAGATGGTTTCCACGAAGTGAAACAGGCTGATGAATCAGGCTATCCGTCACCTGCTTATTTTTATGGAAATGTCATTGATCTTCCACAGTATGATATTGAACAGCTTGATCTTACATTTATTCAATTATTTGCGGTTTTATAGCTCAACAATGCCTACAAAACAGACTTTTTAACTATGAGTGGGGTTGCCTCTCCACAGATCTGACCGGGAACTTGATCTGGTTTGGTCTCCATGATGATAGAAAGGTTTAATGCTAAACTGTGAAACATCTCAGATAACGCAATAACATCTCCAAAGAGAAAAGCAGGTGGCAGATCTCTATCAGAAAAGTTACAACAATGCACACTTAATTGAAGTCTAAGCGGTAAAAAAATTCAAGTGTACTTTTTAAAAATTTATATTTTTGTTGTCTAAATACTGTATATTATATATGTAGTACAAATGTAAGATACAGAGGGCAAACTAATATGCAAAGTTAAATCATGAGTATTAAATCTTAAAATATGATCTACAATAGAGCCGACAAAGAAAAATGTAGAATTGCTTAATGAATAATAGTGATTGGAAATATATTTGACCACATTTATCACACTACGCTGACATCTAGATAGACTTTTCTTATGAGCAGTAATGCATTTTAAGAGAAAGGTCAGAGTTCCTCCTTAGGGAGTGGTATTTTCCATTAAACTAAGGCCATATGTTTAATAGGAACAACTCACAGAGATATAGTGCCTCACACTGATATTGGTCCCCAGTGGTGAGGCGGAGTAATGCATTAAGACTCCTCCTTTGGGTACCATATTTTTATTTTCAGACCAAAGACTGATTGTATAAAAAGCATTTTGGATATTAGTGGTATAAATTCAATGTAGTGCATGCATTTTTTACTTCCATACAACTAGTGAAACAGGTTGGACTAGTGGAAGAAGTTCCAAATACAACAATGCAACCAAAATGTTATAATTTGTATCAGAAATTTATTTTAGGCTACTACTGCTGCTATCTGAAATGGCTTTGACTTATTTAGAAAGTTTGAATATTTTTGTTATTTTGTACCAGCCTTCTAAAGTGAAAGTTCCATAAAAAATATAAAATGATGTGCTAAATTTGTTTTCTGTTTTGTTTTGTTTTTTTGTGAATAGTCTAAACACAATAATTAAGAAGCATCATGATTTGAGCTTGATGTGTAGCTCAGTGGATGATTTTGCGGTGGACCACACGTTTCAGGGTAACACGGTGCGCTGTTGTCAATGCTGCCTGCTCACACTCTGTCAGAAATCCCAGAGACCAGCCACTCGCTCTCAGCTGTTTTTTCAAGCTTTCAATCTTGTTTTCAGGCACAACAAACCCTGTACTGGACGTGTTTCCTTTGGCCCATGCTCCCTCCCACAGGCCTCCTCACCCTCCCATATTAAGCTGCTCTGCTTGGATACTGTTCCCCACGAAAGGGAAACAACCATAGGATTTGGCTTTGAGTCGTAACGGTCCAGAAACAAGCCCCATTCCCAATTCTCCTCAGTCCTGCCCCCCAGAGTAAATATGGATAGCTCTAAAATATGACCTAATCTGTCAAGCCTAAAGTACAGTTCCTGCTATAGTGGTCACAGCTACATGCTGTAAGCTAAAGTTGTACATAAGCCATATTAGTTTCAGGATGGAACAGAAAACGTTTCTTATTAATCCCTGTGTGAAAGCGGCTTGGACACCAGTGTGGATAGTGAGCCACACAGGTCAGTGGAAAAAACATTAGGTTAAAAGGCCTGCCACCGGGATTTCTCCAATATCACAGTGTGCAGGAGGACCAGAGCTGAGCTGCATGAATCAGCCTCTCACAGAATGTGTTTTTTAAGAATTTACACGTTCAAGAGTTTGCTCTAGGGGTTATTGAAAAAACACAAACTGCCCTTGACTACATTTCTTTATGTTGAACGTAACAAGCCTGAAATAAAGGTACACAAACTCTAAGAACTGTGACTAATCAGAGGGAGGAGGATGAGAGCTTTGAAGCATATCTCACAAAACTAAACCATGTGTGCAGTGCTGACATGTTAATAAGCAGCCAGTGCTTATCATATATATTGTGCTTGCTACAGTTTGGCAGTAAACCCTGTGTTCACAGGTGGGACACTGGGGAGTGGAGCTCTTGCTCTGCTACATGTGGTGTGGGTCTAATGACCCGCTCTGTGGCCTGCACACGCCGGCCTTTTCGGGGCAGTAACCACACGGAGGTTCTGAGAGCCGAGGACTGTCCGAGCCCCAAGCCCAGCCCTGTTCAAGCATGCAACCGCTTCGACTGCCCTCCCATGTGGGATGCACGTGACTGGGGCAAGGTGAGGCCAGTAAACATCTGATCATAAGTGATGCATTTAACAGGGACTGTTGATATAATCCAGGTGATCCCTCTCTAAAGGAAATGGCACCTCTGTATTTGTGTTGCTGCAGTGCTCGCGGAGCTGTGGTGGAGGAGTTCAGAGGAGGCAGGTCCTGTGCAAACAGCGCTTGGCAGATGGCAGCATTTTAGACCTGCCAGACACGTTCTGCCCGTCAAAGAGCCCTGTGACCCAGCAGGCCTGTGCCAGGCAGGACTGCCCTGCCATGTGGGTCACCACCGAGTGGTCCCAGGTACTGGTGCCAGTTATGATTCACATGTATTATTCACACGAAGAGCTGCACATTTTTGCTGCATTTTGTAATAGTTTAAATAGTGTAGTTTGAATGGTCCTCTTGTGTCTCCAGTGTTCAGTGACCTGTGGCACTGGCGTACAGAGGCTCCAGGCAGTGTGCCGGAAACAAGGAGAGGACGGTCGATATCGCACCATTCATCCTACAAACTGTTCTCAGATCGCCCATCCCAACAGCGTCAGGCCATGCTCCCTCAGCCTCTGTGACAGTAAGCTTTATCACTTTGTGCTATATTAAAGTATAGAATAACAGTCTGAATCATATTACATCAATGAGTTGTTTTACAGATTCAATCAAACCAGGTCCCACCAACCAACCCCCAAAGAAGGTTTACATCCAGTGGCAAAAGGGTAAAAAGCTGCAGTTACTGGTTGGTGGCTACGCTTACCTGCTCCCCTGGACTCCTGTGATCCTGCGCTGCCCGACTCGGCGCTTCCGGAAAGGGCACATCCAGTGGTTAAAGGATGGGAAACCTTTATTCAGCCTCACTCACCTCTCCATCACATCTCTGGGATATGTCAAGATTTACAATTTACTTCCATCTGACGCTGGAGTTTATACCTGCCTTGATGGTCAAACCTGGGAACATTTAGTCTTGAAGATAATTGGAAGCAAGCAGAAACTGTCACTGTCAGAAGCTGCTGTGTCAAGGCTTAACGGACCTCAAAAACCGGGCCAGACTGAGCTTCCTATTTCCTTATTAAACCACTATGACAACATTGTGGAGCGCATGATACAACTCAAAGGATCTGTCCAAGATGTAAAAGATTTTGATAAACTTCATTTAAGTGAAAAGAACAGATCAACCTTGGAAGATGAAAAAGAAAGTTTAGAGCACTCCGGCCCAGTTGTGCTTATTGTTGATAGCCACAAGCTAGATGAGATAATGCACAGTCTGTCTGGGGAAGAACAGCTAGCCCACCTGCTTAATGAGCTAACCAAGATACACAGTGAAAGCAATGAGTCAACCCAGTATCCGGGAACAGCAACTCAAAAACCTCTCTATTACAATATCAAAGTCCACACGCCAAGGCCAAGACGACCCGTGATTATCCAGCAGCCCAGAAGAATAGGAACAGCGCCTTCTTCTTCTGAAAAAATAGTGCATGTAGGGTTGCCGGTGCTTTTGCAAAAACCAGTAGCAAGTCTGGAGCTGAAATGTAATACGTTGGGGAGTCCACCACCAATCATAAAATGGACCAAGAATGGAAAAGCACTAAACTACAATGGCAGGTAAAGACACCATGCTTACTCGTGCATAAAAGAGGCTAAAAAGGAAAATTAAAAGCATTGCTTAAGTTCAGTTAATTTGCAAAAAAAAAACAAAAAAAAACAATACAGTACAAACAATACATAGAATACAAGCCTCACTTTACTTCAATTGACAAAAAAATTATAATAATAATAAGATGCTCTTTCATGATTCAGGAATCTTTTGCTTCACTGTTTCTTAAAAAAATCTGTTTTTGCAATTGAAGATAAATAATTACTCAAGAGGAAATAATACTTAAAGGTGCACTGTGTAATTTTTTTGATAAAGGATCTGCCACCAGCTCATTTCCATACGGATGCATCCCCTGAAAATGTACTGTATATATGTATATTTACAGTATATATTTTTCATGTACTGTATATATACAGTACATGAAAAATATATACTGTAAATGTACTGTACATATTTTATCTGTATGTAACTTATGTGTTTTTATGCATGTAGTTTACATTTTTATATGGACTGGTGTTGAAAACTAGCACTTATGCTAAAACACTCAAAGCAATGCATCTGGCTTGTCTAATGCAATTGTGATGTCCTTAATAAACATGAATAAAAAATAAATGTTATTGCTTTACCTTGAATGTTCCACAGTATTACATTAAACTAAAGTATTTTGCATTTCTACAATTATGAGTGTATTTGTGCTCAAAAATACATTAAAAACATGTATTCTTACTGTTAGCAGGATTACCTCTCCCAGATCTCACCTCTAACTTTGCTTGTTAGCGTCATCTGCTTGCCTCCATGCATATAAACAAGTTTAATGTCATATTGTGGAACTTTTGCATGGAAACAAGCAGGTTGCAAACCCTCCACCAAAAAAGTTACACAGTGCACCTTAACATGAGAAAAGCAAAGTTCTGTTTCTGTCTATTAATTGTGTGATGTGTCTTTTCGTTTTGATAGAGTAGTTGCTTTGCCCACCGGTTCACTAAAGATACTATTCCCAAACAAACATGATGAAGGGCTTTACACCTGCACCGCAAGGAACCGTCTTGGAACTGCCAAACTTTCATCTTGGCTGCAAGTAAATGGTAAGGATTACAAGATGCCATATTGAGTTTGTACTTATTGTACTTCTTTTGTGGTTTTGTATAAGAAATCTTGGAAAACTGTAAAACACACATGCAGTCACATAAAGTTAGGATTCTGCAGTCAGTGGTAATGATTCAGTGTTGAGGAATGTCCGGAGATGGGTCACCTCTCCACTGTCTCCCATCAAAGCACAACCATTCTGATTATTCACTGCTCCTGCACATCCTCCCCACATATGACAACAATTATAGGGGCAAGTTTCAAAATAAGATAGCATAGCGTGCAGACATCAGGGTGTGTACTTCTGAATAATAAGTGTTGAGTTTTGATTTTTCAATTTCCCTTCATTTATCATTGTACAATAACTCTAATCTAATGCAACCTTTTGTATAACGTCTTTTTAAAGTTTTTTCTTTTTATGTTTTGCAGTTGGAAAAGGAAGAAACTGTGCCCAAGGTCAGACATGTGTGGAGCGGAGTAATAGCAGTCAAATGTTGCCACTGTGCACTGGTCAGGGCTGCTCATTCAGGTACAGAATCATTCAGTTTCAGTTCTTCAACTCCAACAGGAATAAGGAGAATAATATGCATGTTACCAGCTTTAACCAATGACACTGAAGTCTAATTTGAATACACATACATCTACAATTGAAGCAATAAGACCTAGTATAATATTTAGATTTGTTCTTTTGTTCTATTCCTCTTGTGGAAAAAACACATTTGTGCACCTCGGTCATTTAATATGGTTGTTTTAGGTGGCAGGTTGAACCGTGGTCTCAATGCTCGTCTGCTTGTGGAGGAGGGTCCCAACGCAGGAGGGTGCGATGTGTGACAGGTGCAGATGACGGGGCCAAAGAAGTGGGGGTCCATCACTGCACAGGACGCAGCCCCTCAAACACACGATTGTGCAACATGCTGCCCTGTGTCAGATGGGCCACGACTCCTTGGGGACAGGTAAAAAAAAATACTCAAAGAAATGAGTCTCTAATATATTCCCAAATATCAAAGGGAAAAATCCGAGGCACTCGCATTAAAAGGTCCTTAATACGACTCTATTAAAGAACTTTTAATGTAGTCGTAGCGTCTCGGCTGACCTGATACTTAAGTGACCCCCTGAAGCACTCATCTTTTTAATCATTAACTATATTCCCAAGTATGTTTAGTATTATGCAAAACAGATAAGCAAAGGGATATACCTCAAGTATACTGCGTCTGTAGAAATAGTATGAATCAGCTCTTCATAGCACAGAAAAATGATATTGAATAATTAAATGTCACTTTCACATTTGCAGTGCCATGGTCAGTGTGTAGGCTCAAGTCTGGCCACACAACATCGCCATGTTTACTGCCAGGACACAAACGGGACCAAAGTCTCCTATAGGTTGTGCAGCAGACTTCAGAGGTAAACATCTTAACCTTTACCTGAGAAACTGAATAATTTATTTGCTATAAAGGTCAGTCTTAGTGGAGAATGTGCAAGTGTGCATCATTGAAAGATAACTGTAACTTAGGAAAGGTCTGCATCTCATAAAGTTAATTTGATAAAGATTAAAGGTCCTATATTACACAAAATTGATTCTTGTGAGCTTTAAGTTATGTTATAATGTTGTTACTTCATTAAAAACATACCTGGAGTTGTGTTTTGTTTCATTCACACAGGTTTGAAAAATCCTGCATTGTTAGGCTGTCTACATCTTCAAATCTCTATTCAACTGATGTTATGAAGCAGTAGTAGCTCCTATTACTTTTTGTTCACTAAATCACCAATTCCAGGGCTGAAATTATCCAAATGATTCTTATGAAGGTGTATGAAGTTTAAAACACAATTGGGCACTTAGTATGTACCAAATGACATCACAAGGTGGAAGAATTCAGCCCAAATATGCAGGTTTGTGTGCTAAACATGTATGAATGAAACAAAACACAACACCAGGTATGTTTGTGATGAGGAAACAACATTATAACATAGATCAGAAAATACGGGTCCTTTGATTCACTCTGAATTAATTGCATGTAATTATGTTTTTAAGGCCTATCTCTGTGAGGAACTGCTCCACTGATGCTTGTGCACTTCAGTGGAGGATAGGTCCATGGACACAGTGCACTGCCTCCTGTGGTCGTCATGGTTTCCAGTCCCGGCTCGTCAGCTGTGTGCATCGGCGGACTGGGGAAGGCCACGCGAGAACATCACTGCATGTGGAGGCCCCGCCCCTCCAGCTGGCAGAGGTGCAATATATTGTCCTGTGGCAGAGGTAAGAATAAAACACAAAACAGAAAAAAGACATGCTTTTTGATTTGACAATGATTTTCTTTTTAAAAATACATCTTTACATACATCATTGATACACTCTTTATATTTGAACAACTTTGGTCATTGTGAATATAAATATAACTTCATAGGAAAAATAAATAAATGTGGCTTTATTCTTGCATAACATTAATAAGATATCTGACTGTTAAAAGACCTATTTTCTGATCCATGTTATAATAATAATAAAAAATGTTGTTTCCTCATCAAAAACAGACCTGGAGTTTTGTTTTGTTTCATTCACACATGTTTAACAGACAAATCCTGCATATTTAGGCAGAGTTCTTCTCTCAAACAGAAAACACTCCACTTTGTGACGTCATATGGTAATACTAGAAGTTCTCTACTGTGTTTTTAAAGTCCATACACCGTCACTAGATCATTTGAATAATTTAAGACCCGAAATTACCAATCTCTACTGTACAAAAGGTAAAAAGGTAGCTGCTAACTTGAAAACTCACTTCACAAGGTGGAACAGACCAGTTTGAGCTTTGGAGTTGTAGCTAGACTAATAATGCTAGACTACTCAAACATGTTTGAATGAAACAAAACACAGTTCCAGCTATGTTTTTGATGACACAAGAACATTCTAACATGGCTTAATGCTCACAAGAGTCAATTTTCTGTAACCTTAAAGTGAATGACACATATGAGCTCTATGATTGTAGGTTAATTATTAGTCTAATATTAGTTTGGTCATAATAGATTATTATTATTATTATTATTATTATTATTAGTAGTAGTAGTAGTAGTAGTGGTAGTAGTGGTAGTAGTGGTAGTAGTGGTAGTGGCAGTGGTAGTAGTATTAAGTGTTTGGAATAACATCACTAACATCACTATGTGTATTCCCCTCAGCAGGAGAGTGTCTGGACAGCACCAGATATTGTGATAAGGTCCGACAGTTGGAGCTCTGCCCTTTGCCACAGTTTAAGAGCCGCTGCTGTGAGTCCTGCAGAAACACCTGAGACATGAGACCGGAGATGGACAAACTGGACTGGCCTAAGAAGAGACTGACCCCCATAGTGTCACCACAACAGAAACGTGTGGACACCATAAGGAGGGAGTCATGTTCATACCCACATAACAGACATGGCAGGGTATGGATTTGAGATGGGCTGGTAATGAAGGCTTCAATTTTACTTAAAAGAAAAAAAAAATCTCTCTCTACATATATATATATATCATATGCCAGCAGCCAAAAAAGTTTGAATAATGAGAATCATGAACATGTGGTATGTACTTTTGAGCCAAAATGAAACTAAAAAAGCAATTTCTGCACCAGTTTTCCCAATGGTGAAAAAATTGAGTTTGAGTTTTATAGCAGCACCTTACATTCATTGTGCGGTGTAAAAATAATACCACATGTACAATACAAGAAAATATATTGAATTTGATGGGGGACCCCTGTGCTAATCACTGGATATTTGCTTTTATTGCAGCAGATCCAAATTTATTGGTAACTGTTTTTAATAGATTGGAGAAAAAGCAGCTTAAACCTCTAAGTAGTAAATGAGAAATAATGTTCACCTGGAAAAAAGCTCATGGCTCATTAAGGGTCGTTTAGCAGTGAATGGTCGTTTAAAATTCATTTAGATCACAGTTATTTTAATGGTTTTGGCCAAACAAAGACTATGTTTGAATTCAATTGCTTTTGCATGGGTTGCACTAATCTAATATAGAGGAGTCTGACTGAAGCAAATACATTTCTTCTTCATTTGAGGAAAAAGAGTGAGAGACTTTTTGCACTCAGATCTCCTTTATGCCTTTTGTTGAAAACAGGGCTTGGGAGGTGTTTTAAAACTCTGGTTTGTAAGTAAGTGTTAAGATTTTATTTTTGTAAGATATGTCTTAGAAAAACATTTTAAGAAATGTTTCTTTTAACCACTTAGTGACATAGTGACGTAATAGTCTTTTGCTGACAGACATATTCTTAGTTACAATACAAAACAATTTGGTAGAGATCAACTTTATGATGGATAAAATTGAAAAAATACCTGGCAGGCAAAATTTGCACTTTTCTCTTTGAATATGTCTTGGATGAGTTCTTACATTGCAGTGAAGAGAGCACAAAGTATAGCAGGAGGCTACTTGTCCTTTCATTGAGTAAAATGTTTTATGTGAAAAACATTGTTTAAATGTAGATATTATTTTGTTGTTGACTATTTATTTGATTGTACGTTTTCATGTATATAACTGTAAATATCAAATGCCTGAGTATTCATATCCCTGTAGATTATATGGATATTAATGTTATGGGGACCCCTGCTGGTGACATAATGCATTACTCTGTTGATTTGTGGAAAAAGCATTAAATAAAATTAATTACATTCCTATTGTAAAATGGTTGTTTTCCGTTACATTACTATCAACATCATTAAACATAATATTTTGTTCTGTAGACTACTACAGATTTATCAAAGTAACTACAGCACAGCCAGACAGGAAAAACCAGGCAATCCCCATATTACAGATGTAGTCAGCTGTGGCATTAGTGGGTTGAAAAGAAACACTTCCCCATTGTCTTACGCATGATATTGCTGTAATCATCAATACCACCCTAAGATGCCTTACTCAAGTACATAATGGTGGAAGAAGAAGGTTCCAGTTTAAAGGCTATTCAGGTTTTGCGTGTTTCTCTTGTGGATCAGCTGGAGGGACGCATCGAGTCAGTTTTGGAGAATCTTGTGAACCATGGAGTGTTTAGCAGAGACGACAGAGAGCAGGTTTTATGTCATTTGGGACCCAGGGCCAGTTAGACAAGTTCTGGATATTGTTCAGTGCAAAGGAGAGGAAGCTGCCAAAGTCCTCCTCTCTATCATCAAGTCTCCTCACCTGGAGCCGCAGTCACAACAGGGCGAAGGACAGTCGACAGGTAAGTCCACTACCTGCTTGACTTCACGGACATGTTATTGCTTTTCCAGGAATGTTCCATGGCATGACATTAAAAACATCCAACTAGCATTTATTCATTAGAGGTGTTTCTATTGCTCAAAAATACAATAATTCCTTATGTTAATAGGGCCGACTCTCCACAGATCTGAATTGTAATATAGCTTAGTCATGTAAATCAAGTTTGTCGTCATCGTGAGAGATAGCAGGTATTGGACCCTCCACCAGAAAAGTTACGCAGTGCACCTTTAAAACTGTAAAAATCTGTATTAGAGGTGTACAGAAATACTGAAATATCGATATATTGTTATACTAGATTTAGTAACACAGTATCGTTACTGTCTCGTTATTATATCGTGTTTTTTTTTTTTTTGTGACAATACTATTTCGTTCCTTATTTACTGAAAGGAAACTTGTTCATGCAATACACTTGACATATTCACTATTTTGATTATTCAAATGTATTTCATATAACTTTGCACCAGTAGTGGTTTACCAAAGAAATAGTGTTGCTAAAATGTATTCATGATACATTGCGTTTTTTTAAGAACCAGAGTATCGATTATCACATGTATCACCATATCGTGATAATATCGTATCGTGGGCCATGTATCACGTATCATATGGAATCATGACGGACCCTGTGATTCCCAGCCCAAATCTACTATATCTACTACTGATCTGAAATAACATTCAAAATACTCACTTCATAACAAAACTACTGTTAGAGGCAGGGGTGGGTAAGACTCATTTACTCAAGTAACTTTTTCATAAAACTTAACTTTTCAGATAATGGTTCTTTTTAACAGACCAGTGTGTTGTTTACACATCCCTAGACATGTTTCAGATGCCTTCTGCATCCTTCTTCAAACCTTTGTCAAGATGTGTGCAAACAACACACTGGTGTATTAAAAATAAGTATTATTTGGAAATCATATTGAAATACCAAAATGAACCTCTTTGACGTACTTTTCAGAGTCATTTTCATACACTTGCATTTTTGGTTACTTCCATCATGAGTCAGTCTGTTAGTGGCAACACCTTTATATACTGACAGTATTAAATGATTTGAACTGTGTTTCTTGCACCGCTCCTAGTTTTTCAAATTTTTGCTCTATTCTTTATCAGATTCAGTGCCAGTTTTATAGTTTTGTCCTTCAGATGACACTAAATTTAAAATATAGATGTAGATGTTATGTATGTCTGTGTAATCCCTCAGTTGTCCAGGTAGGTTCCTTAGCAAAAGAAAAATGTATCTGTCATTTGGACTCTTTAGAGTGAAAACTTTTGTCCAGTTGATAAAGAATAATAATTTAACAAGAAAATGAATAATAATGATCAATGTGTTGAGTGACTAACAGTTTAATTGTACATCCCCTGTTGCCAGAGCACTACTGTTACATGTCACTGTGCCTGTTTTATATTTATCAAGGTATAAGAACGTCTGTTTGGATTATTCTCTAAATTTGTCTGCTGTCAGGCTTCTCAAGTTCCTCTTCCAATTGCCCATTTGTGCAACTTTAAATAACTCAAAAAAACTAGGTGAAAAGTGTGTTTTAAAAGGACACAATGAGCACACTGCAGCACAGTTATGAATATATGGTCCTAACACAATTCCATAAACACCACATGCAGAATCATCATGACTTCTGCAATTGTTTAACTAATTTTCAGATGTGTCACAAACTATTTCTTTTTCTTTTTTCTCAGAGTACAACAAAACCCTTTTGAAGCACAAGGATGTCCTTAAGCACAGAAGTGAAAGTATGCTGTATTATAACACCAGACATGGAGAGAAAATCTTGTTCTCTGAACATTATGTCAGTCTCCTTTTGGTAAATGGACATCAGGATTTGGACATAAAGCGGCACGAGGTCCTGACGTTTGGCCATAAGCGTCTCTCTTTGCAGCACAAGGCAGCTTTTCATAGAAAAATAACTCCAAAAGAACTCTTCACTTCTACGGAGAGTCGTCCAGTAAAGAAGGTTTTGGTGACAGGGGTTGCTGGCATCGGAAAGACTATCCTGGTCCAGAAAATGTTATTTGATTTTGGGAGGTCAAAAGGACACCTCGAGTTTGACTTCATCATCCATATGACCTTCAGAGACCTCAACCTGATCGAGAAGCCAACAACCCTTCAAGATTTGATTTTGCGCAAAAACAGACACCTGGCAAAAGAACTAGACAATATTTTAGCAAATGACAACAAACTATTAATTATTTTAGATGGTTTCGATGAGTTCAAACATTATGGAAAATGTGATGTGGATTGTTTTGTGAGTGAACCAGATGAAGAGGCTGAGGTGGTGGAGATCTTTGGGAGTTTGATGCAAGGGGAACTTCTACCCAACGCATCTGTACTGGTAACAAGTCGGCCTACTGCCATTAACTACATCCCAGTTGGATTCATCGGTCGATTAGTTCTCATTTCTGGCTTCTCTTTGACTGAAGTTCAAGAATACTTTACCCGTTATTTCCAAGACAAAAAACTTGCAGACCAAATGTTTTCTATTGTAGCGGCAAATGAGGTAATGTTAACACTGTGCTACATACCTGCTTTTTGCTACATCGTCTGCTGCATCCTCAAAGATAAAGAGTTGTGTGGTGAAGGTCCTAACACAATGACGGACATTTACGTGCAGTATCTAGTGGCCATGCTTCGGTCTCACACTCAGACAAGAGAACAAACTTTGAAAGATGAAAACAACTCACAACCACTGTCTGATATAGTGTTAAAGCTTGGTCAGTTAGCGTTCCACAAACTTATGGAGCATCAAACCCTTTTCTACAGCAATGACAAAGATGTGAAGGCCTTAGAAGGATGCACACTGGTTAGCGCCTTCCTTGACAAAACAATGTCCCAAGAACCAGGGTTTGTGGAGGAAGTCTACTCCTTTACTCACCTCACAGTACAGGAGTTCTTCGCAGCGATGTATTGCGCTGTTACGGATGAACCATTCCCAGAAGCTTTGCAAAATGAAAGTACAGATGAAGGAGCAAACAATGGACACTTGGACCTTTTCAGTCGTTTTCTTTCTGGGGTCTTATCTGAACGTAACGCTAACCTGTTATCGAGACATGTCCAGCTAACTTGCAACAAAGACAAAGCGGAAAGCTATCGACAAATTCTGATTAGAAATATTACAGCGTTGTGCGAGAATGGAGGTAATATCTTGAACAATTTGCACTGTCTTGTGGAGCAACAAGATCCCAATTTTGGCCTTGATGTACAACCCAAGAGATTACGCTTAAATGTTAGCGATGAAACACTGTCTGAAATGGATTACAAAGCCATTAAATACTTTTTGAATCTCACATACGGTGCAATAGAGGAGCTGGATCTCACTGGGACGGGACTAAGCTGTGAAGGACTAAAAACTTTATTTCCACATTTGATTCGATGTGAAAGATTATGGTGAGTAAACTGAAGATATGTTTTGGCTTGTTTTAAGTTATTTTTCTCAAAATTTATTGCAATCTACTTTGAAGGCTTGGAGATAACACCCTTGATATGGACATAATTTGGATTATTGCTGGTGTGCTACAAAAATCAGACATCATAGAAGTGCTAGGGTAAGGATTTGATTTGCACAGTGGTGAAAGAGTAAAAGTACAGATATCAGAGATACCAAAAAAATACTCAAATAAAAGTAAAAGTGTCATATGAAAAATATCCTTAAGTAAAATTATTAAAGTATCAGTTTAATAATGTACTTAAAGAGTAAAAAGTAAAAGTATTACATGTAGATTTTGAGATTTAATAAAGCATCAAATGTAGTGATGTTACCAACAAAGTGCTGAATTTTGTTCAGTAGAAACAATTACATTGATCGGGGGTTGCCTAGCTGTTTTTATTTGTATATTTTTGTTTGCTCAAATTATGTACATGGTAACAATAAACCTTTAGTGTTAGTTCTCAAAGAATAATAAATACTTTTGAGTCCTGTTCAAAAATGTAGTGAAATGTCAAAAAAGTACAGATACCTGCTCTCAAATGTAGTGAAGTAACATGTACTTAAGTAAAATAAAGATACCTACATTTTTTTACTCAAATATAGTACTTTTCAACTTTTTCTTACTTTTACTTTTCCACCACTCGATTTGTAACTCATCATGTGACTGGGTGTAAAAACCATGTGTTGTTTTTTCCAGTGTTGGGTGGTCAAACATTGGGGATGATGAATTAGTCATTCTTTCTAAAGCCATACGCGACAATAAACAGCTCAAGGAACTGTGGTAAGCTAGTGCAATCGAACAAGCTTATGATGAAATTTGAGGAACTGAAATTGTGTGTCCTGAGAAAAAGTTTTCATATTGGCAAATCTGCATAAAATTACAGTATTGTATCTATTTTTGTTTTACAAATTTGGGATCACAGGATGGAAGGTAACAGAGTGAGCCAAAAGGGCCTGCAGTCACTTGCGGACTTAACTCCACATCCTTTGAGAAAAATTGTGTAAGTGAGCACACAGGTGACACAAAACTGACTATTATGAGCTTTTAGTTTGAATATTGTTACCTCTTCAACAACATACATTATTGGGCTGTGGCTACATCTCCAAAGCTCAAAATGCTCCATTCCATCTTTGTTCTTTTGAGATAGACAATTCCAGGGCTGAAATTGTCCAAGTGATTCTAGTGAACACAGTGGAGCACTTCCTGTATTACCACATGACATCACAAGGTCGACCTGAGTTTTTTCTGATTGAGAGAAGAACTCAACTTAAATATTTAGGATTTGAGGGAACATATGTGAATAAAACAAAATTAGCTCTAGATATGTTTTTGATGAGGAAACAGATCAGAAAATAATATGGGCCCTTTAAGGTAAAGATTACAGCTATTCTCAAAAAAGACCAGATGACACACAAAGCCATTACATTTAATAAGGCCTAAATTAAATCTTTTCTATCTACTTTAACCACAGAGCCATATGGAATAATCTGGAAGAGAGAGGTTGTTTGGATTCAGCTTGTATACAAGAAAGCATCTCCATAAACTTCACTGATGACGATGATGCAGTGTGGGACTCATGGGGAGAGTGGGTCTTAAAAAGATGTGAAGGCATCAGCAATGACAGGCTCCTTATTGTTCTCCACAAAGTGTGCAATATCCCAGTGCATTGCAGAGAGGACCAATGGGCAAAGACCTTCTACAAGAATCTGTACAAACTCTTGCAGACCAGAATTGAAAGCTGCACTGAAGAAGATACCTGCAAAAAGCTTAAGAGGTTTCAAAGTACATTATCTTTGTGAGTTAATGCAGAAACTCTACATTAAATCTTATACTACAAAACAAATTAAAAACATGTTGTGGCCCGTACGGGGATCGAACCCGCGACCTTGGCGTTATTAGCACCACGCTCTAACCAACTGAGCTAACCGGCCATGAACATTTTGTCAGACATAACCTCATTTCAGGAAAAAAACGCACAGATGCCGTGTTTTTATGTATTTGTATGTATTTATCGTGTACGTTACTATGTTTTATTTAAGTGGAACCTTTATATGGAACAAACTGAAACATTTCTGCGTTGAAAAATATATATTTGTTTTCCAGAAATGTTATGTATTTTATCAATAAAATATAAAACCAGTAATCTGTCATTCTTTTTTTTCATATTCCATAGCTATCTAGCACGGATCTAGGTGAAAATGATTTTAATAGCTCCGTGGTCAAAATACCAGCGACATGCCCCGTGAACGTGCCCCCGCTCTTTCTAGTGACGACTTTATCCTGCGACGGCTCTGACTGAACGGACAAATGTCGATTGATTAAAATTAGCCGACAAAACCCTTCAGTTGTCCTTCTTTTGTTAATTTTCTTCACCGTTAAATTACAAAGTAAAGGTGAGTTATTAAGCTTTATCTGTATTTTATGCACCTTATGCATTAAGACAATTTTACTCCGTCAGTACTTGCAAAATAAAGTGCTAGCATGGTTAACCACCACCACCACTAACTTGTGTAAAACTGATTCAAACGCTCAAAACAAGATAATTAACTAATAATAATATTGACCTAATAATGTTGCTTTGTGTATATCATGACTTGCATAGAACAGGTTCACATGTTTCGTGCTTATTTTGTATCATTCGTGAGACTATCAATTTTAGTTTACAGTAGAAACTTTTGCAATAACATAACTTTTGCATGTAATATGAAATTTACTTACTGTTTTGTCAGTGCGATGTAAACAAGTGGAATATATTCTTTTGTGAACTTGCTTGGTGTTGATATTATGATATATGGGTAACCCATAAACACCCACAACAAACAGCCTTGTTTTGAAAAGTATAATTAACCCACGGTCAGTAAATGAATGGGCCACTCAAAGGGCGTCTAATGTTTTGATTTTCAACTAGTGTGCTCGGGACACTAGTGTGTTATCTGGCAGTGCCAGATAACAGATTGACACATACCCAATTAAATAATTGACCACTTCTGTGGCGTGGACAATATTTATGCCACATTATTCTAGAACTGGTGTGATTTGAGGATAAAAACTGTGTTGAGACTCAAAAAAAGTTTTAAAACACTGGTCTTATCTGTCTACTTACCTACCTACTTAAATGTTTTAGTAGAATGATTGACACAGAGAAAGGAACTGCCTCCGGAGATGCTGCTGGATCCAGTGGCAAGAGCAAAGACAAGGAAAAGAAAAAACGGTCTCGTGTCAAGCAACTTCTGACTGACGTGAAGAAGCAAGTGGACTTCTGGTTTGGAGATGTCAACCTCCACAAGGATCGCTTTCTGAGAAAACTCATAGATGAATCTGGTGATGGATGTAAGGCACAATTAAGTTGAATTATATATATATAGTAGCACTATTTAATGGACACTACATTTTCTGGTGGATTGTTCATTCAAAACCTTTCTCCATGGAGATGTTGCTTTCCCTGGAATATTCCACAGAAGGGCAATCTTTACGAATGCAAGTAGGCAACCCCACAGAATAAATTATTTAATGGCAATTAAAATATCTTAATTGAATAAATGAAAGATGAATTTGTTTATGTGTTTTTAACATATCACGCAAATCAATAACATTTTCATGACACAAACAGATGACAAACCCTCCACCAGCAAAGTCGCATAGTGCACCTTAATGTGTATCTATTATAAAACCATATTTACTGGAACACCTTTTCTTTTGTTACAGATGTTGACATATCTGTTCTGGCAAGTTTTAATCGAATGAAAAATCTTACCACTGACACCAAACTGATTGCGCGAGCACTGAAGAATTCATCTGTGGTTGAGGTACAGTACATCAATGTTGCTCTTGTAAACAATGTTGAATGTAACTAACTTTATTTTGTGGCCAGGTTAATCTGGAAGGAAATAAAGTAAGACGCCTGCATCCAATAGGGGATCCACCTAATGATGAAGACAGCCGTACGGTCTATGTAGTAAGTTGAATTTTCACTAACATGTTACAATGTTAGATATTTATTATTTGCTGACTTGCTTTTTGTTATTTGTAACAGGAACTTCTGCCCAGAGATGTCTCACACAACTGGATAGAGCGTGTTTTTTCCAAGTGTGGTAACGTAGTTTATGTCAGTATACCCAGATACAAGAGCACAGGGGACTCTAAGGGTTTTGCCTTTGTTGAGTTTGAGAAAGCCGAACAAGCAGAAAAGGCCATTGAGGTGAAATGATGAATGAAAAAAAACAAAAAACAAAAAACAAAAATGAAATAACATTGTTCATTATCTGTCCAAATTAGATGCTCAATAATCCTCCTGAAGATGCCCCTAGGAAGCCAGGCATTTTCCCCAAAACCTTATGTAGGAAGACATTGCACTTGCCCACTGAAAACCCCACAACAAATGAAAAGCCCACCACAACTGGAAAACCAACGACGACAGGTACTACAACAAACAATTTTCTCATGTGGGTTGTTGCAGTGAAATTGATTCATGCTTAATATTCAGATTTTTAATACCCTAAAAACTACTACGATCTGATCATGTTGCCAATATATCACCTCTTTTTCCATGTCTACCATTTATTTTATTTCACTAATTTTTATACTTCAATAACAGGTGAAGAAGAGGAGAAGAAAAGGCGTAAGAAGAAGAAAAAGAAGTCCAGTGCTTCGTCAACTTCTTTGACTGAAAGTAAAGAACAGTCAATGGAAGCAGAGCCCACCGAACAAAAGATGAAGTCTGATCCAGAAGCAACAGGAGCCCAGAAAACAGCAGGCAAAGAGAAAAAGAGACGCCGATTGCAAACAGTAGATGCATCTGAGGGTGAATTACCGTCTAAAATGAGAAAGACAAATGAAAGTGGAAGTGCAGAGTGTTCCAAGAGTGGTAATGAATCATTCACTTCAAATCACACGAAAGGATTTCAAAAGATATTTGTGAGTTTAATTATACACCGGTTTTGCATTCCCCTATTAGATTCTTTGGCCAAAAGTGACAAGAAAGACAGAGTTAAAGATGAAAAGGAAAATATGGATGACTCTGCAGCCAAAGCCAAAAGGAAAAGAAAAAAGATGCACAAAGAGAAGTTGAAGATTGGAGAGGAAGTCATTCCACTGCGGGTTTTACCCAAGTGAGTCTTGATATTATTGCATTTCAACATGGCTAATAACATTACGTGATTAATTCCCTTTAATCTGTTTCTTTTTTAACAATTTCAGAAAGGCATGGCTTGAACTGAAGGCAGAGTACTTGATATTACAAAAGCGCAGCATGGCAGCCCTGAAGAAATGTATTACAAAGATTGACCACAAGGAGCAGAAGAGCCAAAAAGAAGTAGATAATCAACAAAATGGTCAGTAACTCATTTTCTCGTGTACTAGTAGTGATGGAGGAATGGAATGTTACACTGACTGTTTGTTTTGCCCAGTTATGATGGAAGAAGGCAATGAAAAGGCAACAAGACAAGCCCCACAGTTTGTCAGTGGAGTTATCCTGAAGATTACTGATAATAAGCCCCTACCAGGAAGAAAGTTAATCAAGGTACCAAGAAACACTTAACTCACTTTTTCACTATGTCACTTATTATTTTCACTTATATTTACTGATCCAGATCACTACACAGAATATAAGTAGAAAAATACATTAAGCTGAATGGTAGTGGTATTTTAAAAAAAGACACATTTTGAAGTATTTAGTATTAAATTAAAATATACTTTTTTTTTTTTTTTCAAATTGCAGGGTAGGGAGTAAGTGAAAATTTTCTGAGGCCTCATGTCTCAAACGCAGTTCAGGATTACTCAAACATTCATAAATCAATAAAAATACAACACAGAGTAAATTTATGATTAGAGAACACTATTATAACATGGTTTTAAAAAGCTAGTTAAAGTTGATTTGACATAATATCCCCTTTTTAAATGTCTCTTACAGGAAATTCTGTCTAAAATCTCCACGGTGGCCTACGTTGACTTCACAGAAGCAGATGCTGAATGTCACGTCCGATTTCACACACCTGAACAGGCCAAAGCCGTGAGCGATGCCAAGACTGAACTACAGAAAGAGCACAGCTGGAAAATGGAGATCCTTTCAGGTAGACTTGAACTCATTATTACCTACTGTGTTGTGTCTGTTGCCATGACAACCAAAGCAAGTTTTTACAGCTCTGAAATGTGTGGTGTACTTCCTTTTTGTAGGCGACCACGAGCAGAGATACTGGCAGAAAATCCTGGTTGATCGGCAAGTGAAACTAAACCGGCCAAGGGAGAAGAGGCGAGGAACAGAGAAGGTGAACATGTGACCTTGTGACCTTATACCATATTATACTATTTTATACTGTATGTACAATTGGGTCAAAATATTTATGCCCCCCACATTTACTTTCCAAGTTCCTTTTCTTGTTTTATGGCAAGTATTGGAGAAAATGTGTTTTTAACAAATTTGCCCACTATGAATAAGAGTTCTGAGCTGAAGTATATAGAAATTGCATTGTAAAATTACTGAATGTTCCCTTCATTTTTATTATTCATATATTCACTTTACTGTAATCTAATTTTATTTATTTATTTTTTTTCTCCAGCTCATTTCTAAAGCAGAGAAAATCATAATGGCCCGAGCTAAGGAATCCAATAAACACATCCGTTTTGATGACTAAGTGAATCCCTACATCTTAAAACAGGTCTTTTTGTCTATAATTTGAAACAATGTCTGAACTACGTGTCAGATTAATTTTGCACTGGAGACAGTAATGGACAGTTTTTGTTTTAATATGGTAACAATTTTAAGTGTCATCTTTCATTTATTAGGGAAATTGTACATTATGTAAATAGTTCTTTTAAGGTTCTCCAGTGAAATATGGAAATTCCATTAATTTTGCTTTTTTTTTTTTTTTTTTTTTTTTTTAAATAAACAGCCTTTTTTGATCACGTGTCATGCCTGGTTTTGACAAGCTTTAAAAAGAAACATTGAGCTAAAGGGAAAAAAAACCTGCTATCACTACCCTTCTCTCTGCTTCTTATATTTATTGCTAGAACAAGCTCGGTTGGCTCTGCGGGAGGCCTCCTAGCTTTGGGTGGAGATCATGCCGCGGACCATCTGGGCTTGGGGCTTGTCCATGTCACTTTTTGTTCTTCTATATTGAAATCCTATCATCCCGTTGTCCGCATTCTTGTCCTTCTGGTTGCCATGACAATTGTCACCATTGCACATTGAAAAAGACATTTGATCGAAACCTTTCTTCCAGTCCTTTTTGTCTTTAAGTCTGGTGACAGGGCGGCGTGGAAGCTCCCATTCTATGTAGTGATCCTTCATAGTCGTGGTCCCTACAAAAGGCGATTTGACGATTCTGTGACTGCTCTGCCTGGTTTGTTTTATTGGCTTCCTTCTTTGCAATGTGTGTGGTATGTAATCAGCATGTGTTGTTGACAGGAACCTATTCATATTGCCGTTTTCAAAGCTTGGGAGTTTTGTGTCCAATGTCCAGGATTTGATATGGGGGACTTTGCCAGGACATGAATCAGACATGCAATGGACACAGTTTGTTGGTTCGCCCAATATTATGCTACTGGTTTGGGTCCTTGACTTGTCCAATCTTTTCTTGGGTTGCACAGGATGAGGAATGAATGAAGACCTGTAGCTAGTTCTGTTTTCAATCGGCTCACTTTCTTTGTCATGTTCTTCTAAACTGACCCCTTGGAACACTTTGAGGTTGTCATGGGGTTTGTAAGGCTTATACTTAGAAAGATTCCATTCTTTAAAGTCACCTACAAGAGAAAGCACACTCATATAAAAACAGTAAATGAATAGACCATAGACATAGATAATAGACCATACTTACATCTGTAGGTGGTTGTTTGTTGGTTGTCATGATTACAGCAACACATTGTGGGATGGGAGTCTGTGACCCTTGGCAGCTTAGAGGGATGATTGATCCATTTTTGGGCTACGTGAAAAGAACTGAAACACATTAACACATAACCAACTTTTGTGGTTATCTCTGGTTTCCCACAATGCAATTCAAACCACTGAGATCTGCTTACAGAATGAAATCTGTCTGCTCATCTCAACAGCTATTCACTCACTGTCAATAAGACGACATTTTGTATAAACGTTTTTACTTCTATAAAATTTACTTCTATAATAAAATTAACTTCTATTATAAAATAAGTTTGTAGAAGAAATGCATTCGAGTAATCTACAGTAACAAAGATAAACCTGGGAGAATATTAACTAGAATTCAGTTGTCCATTGGTTTAAGATAAGGCTATTTTAAGATGATAAATATCGCATGTCATTCAGTTTAAAGTGTTTGTCCTCAGTAATAATGCATTAACTGCTAGTTTTATATAGAACTTTTTCAGATGCTCTAAGTTGCTTTACAATTTTGTGCATTATTCATACTAATTATTCATACTGATTATTCATACTAATCATACTAATACCCCTCCGGTGACCTCCGGTGACCACCAACCACACACATACCAGGCAATGTGGGAGAAGTGTCTTGCCTAAGGACATAACCACAGTTTTCAAGTTCTAAAAGGGCCAGCGTTGCTTCTGAGACCTGACGAGATAAGACTTTGATAAGTAGGTTCAGCCACTCCAGTGTGACCAGTGGATTTGGCAGTAGTGACCGAGCTAAGTTAACATGGTTGGGCTACAGTTTTGGCTGATGTATCCCTGTGGACATTTTGCACGCTCCAAACATGGCGAACTTCCATCGTAACTGTGTTATTTTGATGTTGCATTCCGAGCTCTAGTTACATTTGGACATAACATTAAAAGGTCTTTAGTTGCACGTAAAATAAGTGGTCATTTCTATTTCCTTCCTACTGCAAGCCCTAACGTTATTACTATCTTTGTTTTCATTTTCGAAATTTTAAAATCTACAGTTTCTGTTGCACAAATCAGCAACGACATTTGTGCAAAAATCCAACAGTGGCCTAAAAATAGACAATGCACACATAGAAATGGTTCTTACCTCACGGTTGGTTCTGCCATGTTACGCACATGCCTCTTTCTTCTATCCAAACTAGATCTTCGCTACAGACCAGTTGAATCAACTAACTAAATAATTTACCGTAAGAACATGGGTCATGTGTAGTGAACAAGAGCGGCATGCAGTGACACAATCTAAAAATAAACTCTAATGGATTACGCCTGGCGCGGGCCGTTGTCAAGGCGAGGACGCGCGCACAACCAAAAACGCACCACCAGCGGAGACTTTTTAAAATCTTAAATTACTGTATATATATTTGGCAGTAGTTCATTATACACGGGTGCTCAATGTATGGGATCTTATAAGCTTTTCCACGTCTTTTCTCCATCTGTGAGCTAACCACGTTTTCAGATTGATTGAGAATATGTCACTCATTACAATTGACATGTCCTGTTTAGGACCTCATGGTGGAAAGGATCAAATCCATGGAAGTATAATAAGGTTTTATAAACCCATGGTCCCATTGACTTAACTGAGTTTATGCTGTACTAGATGTAATTTGCCTTTTGTCCGCTAGATGGAGATAAATACTTGTGCATCGGGCCCCGGTTGGTCCGCATGAACGCATAGGCCTATTCATACATACAACCTACAGGCCACTTCCACTTGCCTATATTTTGTTGCGAAGAGGTAGGAAGATTTTATAATGGTCCATAAATCATGGATTGAACCTGCTAATCCACAGGTGTCCAAAGACTCTGAGACGTGGCTGCCAATCTCTGACAAGACATCAACAGTTTCTTCAACCACAACCAGTTACACTACACACTCAGGCTTAACAGATCTGTGTTTTAATGTGGAATTTCAGCTCCTATACACTGGAATAGAAAAAAAAAATCCTTTCTTTAGTTTAGTTTACTGAACTATATACCTATATGTATAAGAAAAAAAAACTAATATTAATACATTTAATTATGCAATGTTTATCAAAATAAGCAGAAAGTAAGAAAGGAATAAGTGGAAATGGCAAAAAAATAAATAAATCCATACTTAAATTAGTAATGGAATAAACTAGAGCGAAGTGAAAATTTGTGTGAACATTATACATTTTCCATCATTTTTGGGACTGGGAATAAAAAGATCCAACATGATGAAGTACAAGATTACACAGTTTAGAGTATAGGTGCGATTAAGAGGTGATCTTCAAGTCCATATGTGAGAAATTTGCCTTTTTGTCCCATATAAATCTATGGAAGCAAGTCCATGAAATGAAATAATAAATCATCTTTACGTGTAGATTAAACAGTGCTGTTGTTTAAGACTAAACGTTCAAAGTGCAAAGTGAAAAAAACCCAAAACAAAAAACAAAACAAAAACAAAACACAAACAACACAAAACAAAAACCTGCAATGTTTGGCTTACAGTGTCTCGCATTAACACTCCCTCATTGTGTAAGAAAGTTGTTTTGTCAGATCCAGATGGTATTTATGATCTTTTCATGTTTTGTCATCTTCTCCAGCACAGATCTTGTGCCACGTACTTCTTACTCAAAGCAAACCAGTGTTTTGTGACATCTCTTTTTAATTATAAGAACAATGAGCTGAACATTGTCAGTGAAATTGCCATCTCATTATTATAATTCAAGTACAAAGCAGATATCCGAGCATGCTTTAATTCTTGTCCACAGTCCACTTCAGTTGTTTGACATCTTCAGCTGACATGCTTTGGTGGATGTAATTATATATTGTGGAAGGGAAGATGCAAAGATGTTCTAGTTATCTCACAATTTCATATGTTTTGCTTTAAAAGTGCACTGTGCAGCTTTTCAGGTGGGGGGTCCGTCACCTCTGCTTGTCTCCATGGAGATGTCATTGCTTTGCCCGTAATGTTCTAGACATTGAACTTATTTCCTTTGAGACAAGCAGGTGATCCAAGTTACGGGTATGTGGAGAGGCGACTGTGCTCACAGTAAGAATGCACGATTTTCATGCTAGAAAAACACCTGTAATTCAATAAACACAACCATAACTTGAAAAATGCAGGATAAGTAATATCAATCAGTCAATCAAACTTTATTTAGAAAGTGCTTTTCATACAAAAATGCAACACAAACTGCTTTACAGTGACTGAAAACAAGCCCAGATTTCCTTCTGCCCACCACCTACCTAACCCTGTAGCTGCACAACCCCACACAACCAAACAACTCACACACACACGCTCATTACACACATTAACATGTTAAAATACATAAAACTACCTATAGTAAAATGTGAGGCTGAATACAGGCAAACCAGCTGAGAAAGCATCATCAGAGGAGCTGTCTACACCAGGAGATATCTCTGCTCCTGGTGTAGACATAGAGACAAGCAGAGGTGCTAGAGCCCAACTAGAAAAGTTACATAATGCACCTTTAAGGACTGAATCACATTTGCTGAAACAGACATTACTATTGGCAATATCTACAAGTATAGGCCAAGTAAACAGTGAACAAACAAACAAAACAAAAAAAAAGCGGTGCAACAAGTTAGCAATTATATTAGAAAACTAGATTCTCCCACCCTCTCTCCATACTACTTTGAATACCCTATAATTTTGCTGTTATAATGCATTTAACAGTTGTCTAGTCTATAGAGAATTATAGCCTATGGACTTATTATAAGACAGAGCAGGAAAGTGGCTAATGGTTCATAATGACTACTTTGCTAGACTCAAGGCTGCTTGCCCTGCTTTTTGACAATTGCCCCTAATTGAGCGTAGGGTCCACATGTTGGGAGGCGTGTTATTAGGGGGCGAGCAGAGAGAGCCAGCTCACAGTAGCAGCCAGTCCTGTCTCCTTTTACGCACGCTTTTATTTTACCCTCTACTTCAATATTACATTATTTTCTCTGTGGTAGTCGACAGCTAGGTGCAACAAGTTTACAAGACCCACACCGTCTCTATAGCCTACTGTATTTTTCGTCGAGCTGCCGTCGCTTCTTGTAACGGTGCGCTCTGATTGGTGACAGGCGCCAAATGCGGTTCGCTCCCAGTGGCAACGCGTGCAGCAGTTTTATCTTCACTAAATGATCACCCCGGAGGCAAGACTAGCATCAAAGTGCGAGGCAAACATGGAGAAAGAAGCCCAGAAGAGACGGCACTGTCACTCCACGGCGTTCGGACTAATCTCGTCCCTGTTCTCGGTGGCTTCCGTCGCCTTCTGCGTCTTTTTGAGCTTTAACGCGGCTGATATCAGGAGCCGAGTGGTGGATTTGGAGAGCGGGAAACGCGAGCACACCTTTGGCTATTCGGTGGAGGATTTAAACTCGTTAATTCAGCAAAGAGTGGAAGAGCTGTTATCTCAGGTGAGCAATTTTTTTTAATTTAACCAATTATCCAACTTTACGCGCGCAAACCTGTCATCTTTATTGGAAGCTAACTCCTAATTATTTATCATCTGGGCTAGATGATGTGCTAATTTGTTTGCCAATTGAAACCACGTGCTAATGAATGAAAATGTCTTCGTTTCAAATTGCAGCGCTCCTATGAGAACTACGTGAAAATACGCACCGCCAGGCAAACCTCACCTGAATGCAACTGCCCACCAGGTAAGGTACTTTCCCCGTGCGTCACTCTTATTATTAGGGGGTCGTGCGTTGGCTTTCAATTGAAAATGAATGGAAGTCTCTAGGATTGTGTTTCATTGCATTTGCACAGATGATCACTATGAAGGAGGCAGGCAGCTGACACTTAAACAGAGAGAAAGGAATTTAAAACAGCGCTATGCAGAGGCGATATGCACTGGGGGCTTGTTTGACCTCTTCATGTTGTTCACTTGTTCTGGTGGAAATGGGGAAAAGGGCAAGTTACCTGAAATTCCCGTCTATGGCCAGTAGATGGACACATTTATTCCTGTTTAGTGCATTGTTCAGATTTGGAATGAACACAGGGGCCAGTGTGGAATTTCGAAAGCAATTACTTGTTATTTGAGCAGTAACAGTATTTTCTGCAGCTTTATAATTATGAGTTTAGCAGTGACCTATGACTACACACACTGAATTGAACTGTTTTGGGTTTTATAATATACTGGATTTCTCCCCTTCAGTACAATAGCCTAGAAATATACGCATATATATGAGCTTGGTCTTTCTTAAATGCAAAATCTAGACAAAACTGATTTTATTTGTGATTTTGAAACAACTACTGTCCCACAAAACCTTTTAGCAACTTGTGTTTATGTGTTTTTCTTTTGACAAGCGCTCAAGAAATTGCCTTCTGAAACTTTCAAAGTATGTCAGGGTTCAGACAGTGCAATTTAACGTGGCAAATTGATATTTTGCCCTCAGAATAGCAGGAGTGAGTGAGCTTTGACTCTCATGTATAGAGGAGGGATGAGACAAACAATAATATTACTAACTGTGATGAAAAAGGATGACAGTACTCGTGAATTATCATGAATCACCACCAGAATGTGCAGGAAAAAAGCTACTTATCCACGATGTTCTCTTTAATCATTGTTGTTTTCACTTATAAATAGGGAAAGGACCTTCAGTATATATTGTTTATAGAAAATCTGAGTACATCCAACATTTTTGAAACCCTGTGCAATTAAAAAAGTGATATTAGTCTTGATTATTATTATTTTGGCCATGATAAACGTAATACACATTTTTTAACTGTCCCATGCCAGAGGTCAGAAAGCAAAGAGGTAAAATGGTACTGAAGTTTTGGGTAAGAATTGAGGAAGAAAAGACGAAGGAAGTTTTCTTAATTTTGGTTTGCAGTGTGTTCAAGCATAATGGAAGAGCAATAATATTTTCCCATCAATGTAATACATGAGAGACAATATTGTTATTCATATTATTGGCACTGCCTCGGTAGTTTTGCATTTTTATTTGGCATAAAACTTGACATCCATCTCCTCCAATTTTGGCATGTTGGACTCGATAATTAATATTAGTTCAGCATAATGTATTACAAGAGGCCCAGAGCGGACTTGCAGCTTGTCCAAGTCAGCCATATGTGAACCCGGGTCCACTTGAGTTCTACCTGCAGCAGGAAACTTGACATGTTTTCACAAGTTCTTCAAGTGGGCTGAAAATGAATCTCCACTGGCTCATATGGAAATGGGATACAGTAAGTGTGAACACCGTGTCGCTGACCTCTCCGTAGTGACAAAGAGCAGAGCCTGTTTGGACGTTCCGACGCAGCGTCCATGTGCTGGTTAGCATCTGGGCCCGGAACCACAGGATGACAAAGTGAAAGACATGGCTGTGGCTTTATTGGACTTGGTGACCTTTGAACTTTACAGCTTACATAAAGGAATAACTTTCAACCACTGAACTTTCCTGGTGTTCGTTAAAGGCACACTATGTAGTGTGCCTTTAACGAACACTATGTAACTTTGCTGGAGGGTCCGTTACCTACTTGTCTTGAGTCACTATTTTTAGGACTTGAAACTTGACTTGATAAAATAGACTTAAGACTTGGGACTCGACTTGGGACTTGACTTGAGAAGACTTGATGCTTCTGCTAAAAATATATATATGTTTTTAGAAAATACTTTTCTCTTTACAGTTGATACATGCAGTGCTAAATTTTACAGGAACAAATTGGAACATGTCCCTCTCACTTCTCTATTTGTTACTTTGGATGTGACTGAAATACTGTGATGTATCCTCAAATGTACTACAGTAATATACAGTACAATACAATAAAACAGAGGGAAGTACAAAGAACATGAGCCTTCATCACAAAATAACTGTTATTTAGCACTTTTAAATCTGAATTCTTACTATTCTGACTGTAATGATTCACACTAAGATTTTGACAAGGGAAAAATTAGCATTTCTTATTCTCTTACATAAATACTCTTATATAAATATACCATGACTTTTTAAGTACAATTTACTTTTAAAGTGATATACACTGCAAATGACTTGAAGCTCAAAGCAGATGACTTTGACTTGACTTGGACTTATGGGCCAGTGACTCGAGACTCGACTTGGACTTGCCTGTATTTGACTTGGGATTTGACTCAGGCTTGAGGTCAAAGACTTATTTGAGACTCTCAAAACAACGACTTGGTCCCACCTCTGCTGTTTCATTATGGTGTTTTAATTGCTCAGAAAGAACTTGATAAACATGTATTCCTTCTGTAAGTGCGGATGCCTCCATGGATAAATAAGTTAACCTTAAACTTGCTCTGGTGGTGGCTCCATTTTGTCTCCATAGAGATATGTAGTTAGGTATGTGGATATGACAGGTTAGCCTACAAATTTCACTAAAACACTTAAAGTTACATAGTACACCTTTAAATAATTTGATAACAATTAACAAAAGAAACAAGCATTTAGTTTCAATCAAACATTATCTGTACTCCGGTAAAAGGCAGTTTTTGACATCACATGAGCATGTACCAGTATTTCAGTACACTTGTGTTATTGATTATTATTATTATGTATTATTGATAATTGGAAATTTGCAATATCGTGCATCTTCAGTAGACATTATTTGAAAGAAAAAGTGTTTTTCTTCATAACTTTTGAGTTGTACTTTTAAGAAGAAAGTTGAAAAAAATAAACAAGTCATCATTGCATAATTTGTGATTATGACCACACTTAGTATAAATAGAGTTCTAAATGAGCCATGTTTGAAAGTTTTCACAAGTGGTTTGTCAATAGTCAAGTGAATCATCTGCTGAGTGGGAATTCCTTCAGTAATGAGCTAAAGTACTGGAAGTATTAACCATAATTGGACTCTCCCAATCACGCCGCTCTCTGATCTCTGTCCCAATCATATGCCTGCTATTTATTTCCCCCACCACATTTCTGTTAAGGCCCAAAATAAAACAAAGACAAGAGTTTAGTTCAAATGGAGCACAGCGAGGATAAAACCAAGATGGCTTTGTGCTTAATCTCAAAGACTTTGCAAATTTGATTAAAGACATTTATGCTCATTGTTTCTTTTTGCTCACCAGTGGACAATGCATGAAAAACATATGTTGCATGCAAGCTATTGTATGCAAAGTAGACCATTCAGCCATAACAATCTGACCACTGACCGGAGAAGTTTATAGTATGTATTATCTTGTATTATGGTGGAGGATGAAACTGATTGTTTTGTCATCCAGTCTCATGCTGTAAAAATAGACAGTTGTTAGTATTTGAGGAATTTTAACATGTGCCACGTTAGGATGGCTACAGGGATTGAATTGTTTAAAGAAACTCCAAAATGGCTTTTCTTGTGGAGTTGAAACCCTAAGCAGTACCAAATAGTGTCCAGCTAGTTTGAATATCAGCAGTGGTCCAGTGAAGTAATGGTGGCAGATCACTGATTTGAGAGGGTTTATGTGACATTTCTTTTTCTTATTACGATTTACCGTTCTGTGTATTGTTTTAAATTGGTAACTGAAGCTATCTGCTGCTTCTGGAAGTTCACAATTCACTTTGGGTAAGTCCACCTGCCACTCTGAACTTGCTCACCCACTCCTGGTCATGCTTCATGTTTGAGGGTATAGCTGCACTAAGGCTACGTTCAGACTGCAGGGCTTAATGCTCAATTCGGACTTTTTTTGTGAAATCCGATTTTTTTGCGAGGTCGTTCACATTTCCAGTTAAATGCGACTTGTATGTGATCTCCAGTGTGAACTTTAAACGCCCCAAAAGTGTCCCACATGTGCATTGGAGGACACGACGATGTCACAGACTGCGAGTGTGCTCAGTGTTTACGGAAGTCGGCTAAACATGGAAGCAGCATTGAGCACCTGGAGATTTTAAAGTTGCTGTCGTACCGGAGCCAGAGCATGTACAGCTTATTTGTTTTAAGGAGGAGATTGAGAAGGAGAAGGATGAGGTTTTTGGCCATGGCGCTTTGTAGAAAGGAACGTGTGAGTGCAGAGTCACAGAGTGGTGCGATTGTGCTTCACTGCTTCACTCACACGGAGTTCAGACACAATTTTCATATAACTAAAGAACGTTTGTGTACATGAGTGACGTGTAAGTCGTATGACTACGACCTGGCCATTCAGACTGAAGTCACATGTCAAAAGATCGGATGTGTATCGGTTTTTGGAGCACATATCCAAGTGGCCTGGGTCGCATTTGAAAAAATCGTATCTGTGTCATGCAGACTGTCATTAAAAGATCAGATCGTACAGGGGCGAAAAACGGATTTGGGTCACTCCTGGCTGCAGTCTGGATGTAGCCTAAGAGAAGCACTCAATCACAATATGAGACAGATCACAGAAAATAAATACATTAAAATCAAACTATTTAAGTGTAGAATTTCACATTTCAGATCACGTTTTATTTTTGATGGCCATACCGCTTAATAATATGCAGTAGTTATCCTCTATGCTCAGGGAAAAGTCCATAATGCTCTGTTCACAGTCCTGACTTCATTGCTGTCACAGAAGATGGAGCGACTGCATAGACAGTGCTGCGGTCCATAGCTTCGGGATATTTTATAGTTCATTTCTCTATCAGTGCTTTTTGTATTTGATCTAAATATTGTGAACTTGAGATATATTACCTTGGTAGGCCTATTGATATAGAGAAAGTCTTTAACTCATAACATTTAGAGTGAGACAGATTTTTATTATAAAATG